TCCCTCTGGGCCTCTTTTTGTCTTTGGCCTTGTTCCATGTGTGAGCTGGCTGATGCACCAGGCTCCAAGAGCAGAGCACATGGTTGGCTCAGCGCACTGAACTGGTTGATCTGCAAACACACTGATCAACAATAAAAATGACAATAACAAACTGTTTCGTTTTGGCATCAAAGCTGGTTTTGATTGGTTGGTTCTGCCCGGCCCCACCAGATTGCTCGTTTCAGTTTACAGCTATCCGGAATGGTCATCAGTTACCATAATCAAATTACATGTGTTAACTGTGGGCTTGTATATGAAAAAAAAAAACATCATAGAGGGCCAGCAAGGGGTCTGGTCATTTACACAACCATGAGTAACCTCAGCTGACGCTAGAAAGGGAGGGTTGACTGCTGGCGGTCTGAAGAGAGGAGGATTTGAACCCTCAGATCTGTTGTTTTGGGGTTTTGCAATAATAAGCAAAGCACTCTCTTGATTTCCCCTTCAACTAAGGTTATACTTCACTTCCCCTGCTAGCAATTAGTCTCCAGAATGCTATTTGTCAAAAGCCAAGCCATTCGTTTCCACTGGTCTGCCCCCGCCAGCTCTTGTTACAATTGACTGTTTCCTGCATAGAGAAAACATAAGCCCCTGGAGGAGGGAACAGGTCCAGCAGCTGCTAAGACCACAGCCTGACAATGTGTGGAGATATCTGAGCATTCAGTAAAGACAGAATCACACATAAACATGGCATAAACAAATCAGAACCTGCCACAGTGAGCAATTTCCTTCTCTGTATCTCAAGACACAGCACATTTATAAAATGATTCATAAAGGAAACCATTTCTTTGGGCATTTGGGAGTTGGAGCAACGCAGAAAATAGGTCAATCATGGACTGACACCTATTGATTTTTCGGTGCAAAATCTGACGAAACACAGGCAAAGTAAATGTGCTGTAAACAAATACGATGCAAGACGCTGCTCAATAAAGTCAGCTGGACCCGCTGACACAACCATGAAATGTAGTTATACAAAACCCCCGAGGTCCACCATCTATATGGCACACTGTCATTTTTCCTCTATTTTCCTGATGATTGCGGACGAGGCATTGGGGTACTTTGGTGACTCCCGGTGAAGTAGGAAACCTATTGTGTTCTCGGTTGCAAGGGATCTGGAGAGCCATCAACCAGCCAGGCATGTTCTTGGTAAATCACCAGCAGAGAGGGAACTTTTCAGAGTGCAATTAACAACCTCAAGGTCAGACTTCTCTGGAGAGTTAGCTCTGAAAAGATCCTCAGGCATTCTCTCTCTTTTTCTGGTATCTTCACAGCTACACACCCGTACGCATGCTCTCTTCATCTCCTTTACCCTCTTCTCCTCCACTAAACACACTTACATTTCCCTCCATATTTTTTCCTAGTGCTCCCTCTTCCCTTCTATACCGTTCCTCCTCGCATGTCTCTCCCTCCTTCTCTCTATTACAGATAAACGTTACTTTGCGGTCATTGGTGAGACCGTATCTTTCCCAGAGCTGGAGCTGGGCTGAAAATCGGTCGCAGGTGTGCGGAGGATGAGAGCCATGGATCTTAATCTTGAGGCAATAATGGTTCTGTGCGCTGAAGAGGTCACTACAGGGATATCTGAGGAAATATCTCAGGCTACTATTTGCTCCTAAGACGTGGCCACAATGAACTTTCCGTGTTCTTAATTGTGCAAACACACTTTGTAAATTGGGCTGAAAATGGATTTTTTTTTTCTTAAAGTCTTCTTCTGCAGTGTGTTTGATTTAGCACTTGACGAGCACATTAGATCGTTGGATTTTGAGTTCGAGGCTTTGAAGTGCTGCACACTTCCTTAATTAGATGTCAAGTCTATGCTGTTGGACTTTTCATTAACTTGTAAAAAGGCTGTGACATTAAAAAAGGGATGAACTTCCTTAACTTTAACTGTCAGGACATTTGGAACCAAAGAAAAATCGTGGTGGAAGGGAGTTCAGTGCGACTCCTTACTTCTACAGAAACCTGAAGAAAACCCAATTTTAAATCCACACAACTGAAACAAGATTAAACGGCAAACTCTCCGACCCCATGTCTCTCCCTACAATGTGACTGTCAAATAAAGGCCTTTTTGCCTTTATTTGACAGTAGAGAGAGAGACAGGAAAGTAGGGAGAAGAATGGGGGAGGACCTGCAGCAAATGGCCATGGGCTGAATTCGAATCCACGACCGCTGCGTTGGGGACTACAGCCCCAGTACATGGGTCACCAGCTCAACCAGTTGAGCGATAGCGGCGGTCCTGTATTATTCATTTTTAACATCTGAACAATTTTCCATACAACTGGGCGATAAACACTTCATCAGTAGCAATAAGAAAACAGTTTGACACAATGTGGAGCAGTGTCACTTAAATGCACTAGATGCACACCCTCATGAAGCTGCACAACACGTGCATGAACAAAACCCAAGCGTGCATATCCCATCACACCCCTTGACAATGGAGCCCTGTAGCCCTTCGTCCCTCTCCCCCCGGCTTCAGTGCACGTCTCCCAATTTGCAATGGTCCAAAGCAGCCTGGGCCTCTTCTTATCCCCATGCATGCCTGCAGACCTCCCCTGGTGAAAGCTGCAACAAGTGGGGACTGGCAGATGCCCTTGCGACTTTGCATCCCCCATCGCCTCCACCTAAGCGACGCACTCCCAGATGCCTGCTCCGAGGGCTGAGGGGCTTCATTTAATGCATATCAAGGTGAGATGATCCTTTTATCCTTATTTCTTTTTATTCATGTGTGTAAATTAGTTTATTTGTGTGTATTCTTTAATGTTTCGTTAATATTCTTACTTGTGTCCCAGGCTCATGTGGTTACATTCAGAGGACGCTACTAATAAAATTTGAATTACACCTTTATTTCTCCTTGTCTTCATTAAAAACAGGTCAATAAATATGATCAATAATTATTGATATCAACTGAAATGAGACATTTTATTGTGATGAATTTTTCAGCTATGCGTCGCCCAGCCCTACGCAGACCACATGCACAACAACAACAGCATCCCATTCAGGTGGATTTAACTGTGCAAAGCGTGTTCTCCGTCCACATGGTCTTCACATACCTACAACCTACTTTTTGCCCTTTTTTTTAACCAGACAGAAGATGACTGAATTCCTCAGGTAGAAGTGCAGAAGGAAGAAAAAAAGATAGAGCGCAGCTTGCATCAGCGGAGCACGCCAGTGAAACACACAATTAAAAGTCTAAATGCATTTCCCAGCTGGTACGTCACACCAGCCATATGCTCCCACAGGTTTTGGGTAAAAATCTCGCCATTCTTTCCCAAGTGCAACTGATACGACAAGAAACTGGATAAGCAAAGCAAATCTAACATTAGTATTTGGTTGTTTCTACATATGTGGATATTGTTTGCATATCTTACATTAATGATGCTTCAAAGATGTTGACTGGCTAAACAGGCACAGGGCATACGAGAAATATTGGGTGTGCCCACACTAATAACTGAAAAGGTCTGAAGCTCATAGATCCTCTCAAGCATTATATCAGGATTACTGCATATGAGGCAAATTCTGACTTATACAACATTCCCTATGACTGCCTCGTTGTTAGATGGCCTCATTAGGAGGATAAACAGAAGTAGGTTCATAAAGTGATTGTCTCCTAAGCTGAGACAACAAGCTGAACTTGTGCAAGAGCGGTGAGATAATCAATAAGCCATTCCACTATAACCATATAAATATCAATATTATTGCAATCCCTATGCAAGGAGGTAATTATAGTGGGACAGGTGTAAAACTTCTGTCTAATCCATGTGATAGATTACATTTAAAATGGGAAACAAGACAGAACCGAATCAATGATTCATCAGCAAATAACTATTAAATTTAGAACAATGGCTCAGGATGCAGTGATAAAGCTGTTGGAATGGCAGATTTTTACTGTACTTTTCAGCGAGTTGCCATTGATTGGGCTCCTCCAGCGGCGCGAAGACAAGTAATGGGGAGTGATGTTCGATAACAGTGCAGTGCTTTACAAGGTATTAGTGTTTCACATTTAATAGTGAAAGAGTGTTGTTTCTTTATTGGATGGCACTTCATTGCTGTGCACTGCTTCCTATTACTGTTTAATTGCCCTATTGTGGACCGGCTTCAATGGCGGATTACGCTGACCATCTAAAAATAATATTTGTGTCCATGTGTTTGTGAGGTATAAAGAAAATCAGTGAATGGGAGAAGGAGCAGCTAATGCATTCTAACAGTTTCCATTTGTATAGGGTTCTGTGTGGCACAGTGCAGGATCATATGGATTATGTACTAGACTTTCAATAAAATGTGGACGCAATAGATGCCCTCCCACACAATTTTCAAGCATATTTGTACAAATCAGTTCATGCTGACTGTAAAGCTACAGCATCTAGTATTTCCATAGTGTCCTTGCTTTGGAGCATGGAAGACGTTCAAGAGGGTAACTGATGATTTACCCTGGTAGTTGAATCTCAGTCTCTGTTGCGCCACTTTTACAATTTGGGAAACCACCAGAGGCCTATCATTTAAATAACTGTACCCATAATTGCTTCTGCAAGTTAAGGCAACAGCATGGGACTCTTCCAAAAATGACATGTTGCATACATCTCGTTCACATTTAGGACAGGGACACAATCTTAGACTAACTTATCCTTACTGTGGGATTAACAATACATTAATCCCATTTACATACAGACAGCGGTGATGTGCAATGTATGATGGCATATGATAAAATATAAATGTAATGCAGTAAAAGAGGACTCCTGTCAAATGACATCGTAATCAATGCACAGCCAGGATGGCTTCAGGATCAGATGAAAAATGGGATGTCAGCCCATATAAACTCTGTCCTATTTGTGAGATGACATATCTATGTCATAAACTTTCAATGAACCTTGCATATATGAACTCCAGCCAAACTCCCTCTAGGAAGAGACTCAGACCCTGACTGTCAGAGAACTGACATGCTTATACACACACACTCATAGCCCTACCTGGCATGAGGGACGTCAATGCTGGACGAGACCACTTTGCGTTTCTGCTCTAGCAGGGACACTGATCGGGTGTCGGGGTCCCGGCTAACGCGCTTGCCATCCGCCAACCGCTGCTCCTCCACTGCCTCTGGGCTCAGGCAGCCGCCCTCCATCTTCTGGCCGTCTGGAGCCCCGTTGGTGGAGCTCTGCTGTAAGGGGATGCAAAGAGGACAAAGTCAATGCTTGGGTCAAAAATCTACACAAACAAATTCGGAACACTGGCAGTGTAGGAATGAGTCACTGCAAATGTTGATGCAGAGTCTGGAAGCAGAAATAATATTGTAAAGACTCAGAGCAATGGATTTTTTTATGCATGTTTGCTTAAGGAAAAGACTAATTCTATAAAATATGGTCAATTTAAATCATCTACTAAAATATCAAAACATAATTGCAGGCAAACAATTATGTAATGAATGTAGTTTTTCAACACCGTTTTAGAAAAAAAAAAAGATAAGATCTGGGCTTGGATACACATTTGTGATTGGTGTGAGGCAGATGCTGTTCACTGAGATAATCAAACAGCTGATTGGATATTTCTCTGGATGGTGATTACAATCATTAACATGTATGAACACGTCGCAGGCTTTCATTAACATAAGCCTAAACAAAGAATAAATAAAGCCTAAACTTGTTTTGTGAGTAGGCAATTATTATGTGATTATGCCAAAAATAGCAATAGCTTTACAATGGTGATAGACTATTTCACAACTAAATTAACAAAATACCTAATATTGCTTGGTAGCGAAACAAAGTTAGGCTGTGTTCACAAGTAAGGTCTTTTTCTGAAGAACAAATGCGTTACAGTGTTTTTCCATATCTAAAAATGCTGTTCAGAAACGCAAATGAGTGTCCTTTGTTACTAAGCTGGAGTTAATGTTAGGTAACAGGCTAGTAGGGCTGGTCCGAATTGCATTTTCTGGTCTCCAGATAGTCGGCCCAATCAATTACGAATATTCCAAATAGTTGGGAGAGGGTGGCGGGTGAGTATTTGTTCCGCCAAAGGGGGTGTGCGCAGCTCCGACGGGTTGGAAGTGGGTGGGACAGTTTGGCTACTGAGACAAGTTCAGATGTTTAGGTAAACGGTCACAGTACCATTTCTGCGGCGGCAGCGGGGGGAATATTCAGAGATCAAAATTGATATCTCGATTCCAGCACAGCGAATGAATAGTCGGCTATTCGGCTATTCGCGTCCAGCCCTACAGGCTAGTTTTGCTAGCGAGTGAAATAAGCCAAAACTAGAACCTCTTTAGACCCGCCTACTTTTACTTCATAAATAAATACTGCCGATAACGTGTTTAGTTTTCCTGTATGTATAAGTCACAGTCATTAAATCTCATACATGTTATTTGGTGAAATGAATCGACTTACTATAAGTGCACTAAGTCCTGCTGTCTTTGTTTCACAGATATGGTAAGGATAATGGACAAACAATATGTTTCCTAAAAATGTCTTCTTAATGTTTCAAACCTCCCAACTACCACCACCCTGAACCCAGACAGCAAATCTGCTCTCTAAAAAACCCCTGACTTGTAACCTAAATTTGAACATTCTAATGCTTACATTTGAAATGAAGGAGCACACGGTCCAAATGGTTTAGGAAAAATGTCCAGACTCTTGGGACTAAAAAGGTCGTTTTAGAACAAACCGGATAAACTCCAAAATACACAGCTATCAGTTCCAAGTAAAGCAGTGTTTTGCTTTTTTTGTAGCTCCTGTAGACATTTTGTAGGTATGAGGTTTCCACATATTAAAAAAAAGCCTTCTCATGAAAAACAAAATGAAACTTTACACTGAAGTAGCCATCTGTGATATAATGCACAGCTTCAGGGTGGCTTTAAAACTTTTGTTTAAAAAAAGTGCATATGCTTAAAAACTTTGCCACTGATATTTAAAAAAAAAAAAACAAAAGACTAGTGAGCATGTGCTGTAAGGCAAAGAGTTTTTGTTTGATGTAAATGTTGCACACTTTAAAATATTCACAAAAATCTCCCTTGAGTTCTGCATGAGGAATCAATGCATTCTGTAGTACTTTTGAGAAACATACATCTTAGGCTATTAGTTAATCAGGTTTGCCAATTTGTGTAGAAAACAAATAAATAAACAAAAACTCACGTGACTGTTTTCTTACATAGCACACAGAAAAAATCCTTTGACTTTGACACAAGCCACAATTTTTGGCTTAATGTTTGTAACAGCCCGAATAAAACTGAATGAAGTTCAAGGTAAAGTTGTCAGAGTGAGGTAAGCAGCGCCACTCGCTCTCCTCGCCTGAGTATTTCAACCATTCAGGGGAATTGTTCCGGCAAGAGAGTAAAAATCGCAAAACATGCACACGCTCTCTGCTGCCCTGAAAGACACATGCGACAACACACACACACACAAACGTACTCCACAGTCCTGCAACAATACACCGACACGCAAACAATCACATACTAATGGCATTTGTCCAATCTCAACACTTCTGAAAACGCCTACCTGTAAAAATCCTCTGTTCTCTTATACAACAGTAACCAATAGCGTTGTTCTGCACATGAATACCTGCACGCACCTACGCACACACCAACACACACAGACATCTGTGTGCGTAACTGAAGCCATCAGCCTCTTAGAAAGGCATTGAGAAAAGGCCAAAACACAAGCAGAGTGACACACACAGCTGCCCACGCCGATGGAGCGCTGAGGAGAATGACATTCAGGCCAGTGTGTGTGTGTCTCTGTATACGTGTGTGATCGAGATCATTTTCTCAACACGATTAGTCTTGACCGTGGAAAACACACCGTAGTCAATCACTCACACGCTTGCACACGCACACACTCAATGGGAACAATTTACTTTGATTAATGAGGTAAAAAAAAACAAAAAAAACATGAGAAATTAGTATCGAGTATCGCTCACGACAGAGGCTGGTCGCGTAAACGCTCGGTGGTGCACAAAATGCCCTGCGAAAACACAGACTTGAGTAAAACAACAAGATGGATTACACCGGCTCGGGGAAGATTAGGTGTTGTGTGTGTGCGACGAGCGTATTCCTCGGATAAAAAACCCCGAGAGCAAGTCCTTCCTTTCACCGGGATTATGAATTATGGCATTTCACGGAGCCAGGAAATTGTGAATCATGCCAAATTGCTGGTGAAATGTGAGTTGCATATGTCAAAGCTGAAGCGCTTGAAAACGGAACAAATACTCCGAGTTGTCCCGCCTCTCTTTATCTCTCATTCTCTTTCTCGCTCCCACTCACAAACTCATAACCCACTCGCTTTGGACAGCAGCCTGTGACGCTTAAAGATTCTTGGACTTTTTAGGTCAAAGGTCATAATAAAACATGTCATAAAACCTCAACTGTGTCTGTTAACTCATGTGGTTCTTTGTTGCTGGGAAGCATTTGCATCAGAGCATCTACTGTGACAGATCAGGAAGGTTAATGATTCATTGATGATCTCACACTGCACCTAACAACTGATTTTTTTTTTTAATCAAAGTAAAAAAATAATGCAATCTCCAAATCGAAAGCTTGACACCCTTTAAGGCTCTTACTTGATTCCATCTGTTGCCCAAACAGGCTAAAACTTAACAAGTCGAGTCATGATTGGTTCAGACTTTATGAATAAAAAGACTTCTGCATGGCATCAATGGGGTACAACAGTAGTATGTTTCTAGACTTTTAAATGTTGAGATAAATTAGTGATTATTCTTGATATAAACAAAATATTATCTGCAAATGAACATCTGGAAGTGACTCCATATAAATATGTGCGATTCAACTTGCAATCACAGTATTATTATTGTCTAAAATGTCATGATTTACTCTGCTTTTTTGGTGTAATACAGGACTATATGACGAATATCTTTGAGTAATTTTGCCAATTAAATGCAAACACCTACGAAAAACTCACACATTTGCATAATAATAAGAAGATTTGATTAAATGTGTGCGTTAAACGCGCGCTTGTGTGCAAACAGCAGGCACAACACATACATAAAAACATACACCTCCTTTACGATTACTCATACGCTTCCACAGGGGCGCCAGCATCCAGACTTGACCCTGTGATCACTGTGCTTCATGCTGATGTTGCTCAGCCAACCAATGAGGACAGCCAACGCCGGCCTGCCTGGGATCACCGCTTCAGAACAAAGAGTCACTCAGCTTCTGTCAACAAGCTTGCTTCATTGACTCCCACGTTGGCGTGCGATCAACACGAGCAACAGCAAAGACACCGCAAGCGCCAGCACAACAAAAACAAGCGACGACTCTTTGTTAGCGGCGAGAAATCGCTGTAAACTTCGCTCACGCAACACACACTCGCGCAAACCAACGAGTCAACAAGTGGCATCCTCCCCCCCCTCCACTCCAGAACAGGGGGCATTCGTTTGCCATACCGGGCACAGAGCCAAGCATCCAGATTCTTTGGAGCATGCCACCCGTTGCCAACCTGGGGGTGCCCACTTTGTTGGATGCGCAGCTGCTGCTGCACAAATGGTCTCACAAACAACCCCCACTCCAAAATTTTAAGTAGTCAGATCTCAGTCATTAAACATATAAATACACATTAGAGGAAAATCACATCCATGTTTTATTCCGCCCTCACGCACACAAAAAGCAACACAGATGCACATGAGATTCAACACACACACACTCACACACACACACAGAGCAGACCCCTCCTCCTCATTTTATGGCTTGTTTTCGACCTCAGTGGGAATTGAGTCGTGCTGAAAGAGACTTGACCATTGTGCTGACAGGACTACACTCTCAGCCTCAGCTGCACTACTCCAGCTTGCACCGGTGACTGTATTGTGCAACAGCTTTTGTGAGTGCAGCGCTGTATACACAAATGTGCAAATGCAAAACAAGGGAACCCAAGTTTACATTGCATTTCCCGTTGCCCACAGATCTGACACTTCTCCATGCGGCGCTGCTGTGCTGAGCTTTAAGGTTTGACATGTGCGTGTAATGTTTCAAATAACAGTTTACAACTTCATTTACGATTTACAAGCATTTCACACGGAGAAGTACAATTTTGAGGGATGCTGCTGTAGGAAACATGAGCAATCCAGAATGTGTGGAAACAATCATTTCAGTTTTTGGATGTTGAGATTTAAGACTGCAGTCTGCGAGTTACTTCAGCAGTAACATCAAAACACATGAATGCAAGGAGGCACATAAATCAAAATCTGAACATAAAAAGCTGTTGTTCAATCACATGCATTCCTCAGTCACTCCCTCACTATAAAAAGGAAGGAACACAACACACCACACACACACACACACTTCCCCTATTCCAGAAACTGTTTTCATCCAAGGACTGGATTGGCTTCTCTTCCCCACACAATCTTTATTTGAGACCATGTGACAGCAAAGCATTCAGTTTGGATTTGAAGGCAATTAGGTCATTGCTTATTAGGCGCATTTCAGGACTACAAATTTAGACATGATCAAAACTTAGTATTTTCCCTCCAAAGCCACAGGAATCCCACATGATCTATTTTTAAAACGCTGTTAAACAATAACAGCCTTGTGCAGAATGCTCACATTCAATATGCAATTTGGGTGACAAGCCGCATCATGTATGAATGAAAAAAAATCATTTAAAAAAATCCCCAAAAATATAACAGATTCTTCAAGTGCAAATGTGCAATTAAAGGCTGCATGCACCAAATGATCTGCAGTAAATGTGATGTATAAATATAAATCTCATGTGCACAAAAAAACAACAAGCTGGAACTAGCTCTTTAGATCAGTCCAAAACGCTGCAGTCAGAGCGTGTTTGTTTGCCTCATCTTACCCACCCACTAGCCCACATAAACATTGCGCAGGCCCTATCAAGCCCTTTGTCCCATATATCTGATGTCGCCAAATGTCATGACAGTCCGTTATTTGATGCAATATGCACACAAATCGGCGTTACAGCTATTCTGGATGATGCAGGGTTTGTCCCCGCTGGTTAAATTTGCCATCAGCAGCAGCGGCGGTGACACCGTTAAATCCGCTCCGTGCAGGAAGCGGTTAAACGCTGCAAAACACCGCACAACAAAAACAGTGGAGCGCTGCCTGCCTGCCTGCCTGCCTGCCGGCCGGGGCCCTTCGCCGCTGTTACCCACCTTCAGGCTGGACTTGAGCGGTCCCTTGGCTGCGGTGTGGTTGAACCCGGCGGCTATCTCCTCCTCGGAGAACTCCTTCAGGCTCCCGTCTTGCATGAGCACGGTGTAGACGCTTCGCCGGGCACCGGCGGCCGAGACGTCTCTGTTTTCCTGCTTGACAGCCTGGACCACTCCTGTCACCGGGGCACCGTCCCCGGTCGGACTCGGCGCATAAACGCGGCTGCCGAGGATCGAGCGCTTCACCAGACGCCTCGTATGCATGTCTAAAAAGTGTCTCGCTGTGTTCAGAGCCGGCGAGCCGGTGGATTTAAATCATGAAACGTCGAATTATAACCGGTAAACAACGTCGAGAAAAACACAAAACCGCAGCGGGTAGACTACGCGCTCCAACAGCCCTGACAAAATGTTAGAAAGCGGCAACATACTCGGAAGGGCGAAAAAAAAAAACAACAAAAAAAACTCCGAACAGCGTCCCGTTACACCGCACCGAAAAGCACCGAAAACTGAAGGGGAAACTTTGAATTAGCACCCGACGACAGCCCGCGACATGAAAGCGATTCATTCGCCGCTAAACAACCTCCACATCCAACCGGCTACCAATCTTCCTCCGTTCAACCCGTTTGTTTTCCCCACTGCTCCCTGCGAGCTGCGGGGGCGGCGGGAAAACGCGGACTAATCGCTACGTCCGGGAGCCGAAGTGACATTTGTACACGATTAGACAAAATGGCGGCGGTTCGGCGGATAAACGACTCGGACGAGGAAGAAAACGAGCGAATACGTCGAGTTGTGTTCGCTCTGGTCGTTCCCGTGGGTCGAAACTGCACTGTAGCCGGTGAAAGCGGTTAAAAATAAGGCCGTTATGTGACTCCGGCTCCGGCTACCGACACATCCAGTCCGCTGTCGACTTCCGCCGAGCAGAGCCTCGACCGGCGGAATGCTGCCTGTAAACATGTGCGGTCCGGCGGCCAGGGCGGGCTGCAATTGGACGGCGCAGCACACGCCTCCACAAGCCCCCACCGCTCCCCCTTCTCCGGCAGAAGGTAATGCAACTCGGGAAGATGCTCCATTCAAAACAATGACGCAAGGATGGATAGGAGAGCAGCAGGGGAGGGGGTGTAGCAGCGGGAAACGGAGGGAGGAAGGGGGGGGATTGAGGCTACAGAAAGCAAAACTTCCAGCAGACAGAGAGCTTTATACTATAACCCAGTTGTAGGAGCACCTAGCCTACTTTTTCAGGTGCCGTGGGACTTCTTAATGTCTCCTAAATCAAATAAACCGCAGTGGTCTGTTTTTTGTGAATGTAAACGCATTTTGGGTGTCAGTGCTTAATTCAGTTTTAGGGATGTGGCGCCAATTCATAGCATCTCAAGGCACTTCCGGTGATAAGGTGGACGTCTTAGCAGTGGCGGTTCTACTGGGGGGGCAGTGTTTAATCACATTAAAAAATGACAACAATGATATTTAAACACAAAAAACTTTTATTTAGTTAATATTAAAATTAAACAAGTGTTTTTTGTTTTGTTTTTTAACCAAAATACATCAACTGAAACAATGAGGTTATCAGATGCTATGAGGGACCCCCCAGCAAAGGTTCCACACAACAACTGAGAGGTGTAACTTTGTGTAATTATAATAATAAACATTATTAAATAAAATATACAGTGTATATTGCATATTAACAATACAATAATACATGTATATTTAACCCTAACCCACCGCTGCACCACTGACCCTGTTACACATACATCTCATTTAACAAGTAACATTAACCATCAATTACACCACTGGTCCTATAAAGCAGGCCTGCATTATGTGGTGTCCTCGCGGAAGTGGTGACGCCATCAAGTAAGCTGATGTTCCATTTGCACATTAATCGCGAGTCCGTACTACCACGTAGGCCAAGCTACAGTTCGGGTGTGTCGCTCTAATTCATTGTATAGAGCATAAAGCCACATTAGTTTCGGTTTCGGCGCATGTCATCGTTATAAAGCCATCAGTTTATTACTCAGTCAGCACAGGGACCAGTGACATCTGGACAGAGGCACTGGTCCCTGTAGGCCCCTGTGTAGAACCACCATTGAGTCTCATAATATTATATCATAGAGAGGAATCAAACAACTCAGAGATTCTCTTTGATCAAGCTTTGGCAACAGTGGGAAGAAAAAAAATTGCCGTTAACAAGATGAAACCTTCAGCAGAACCAGGCTCAGGGAGGGCGGGCGTCTGCCTCGGCTGCTTGGGGTCAGGGTAAAGGTTGTGAAGAATAGGACGAGAAGGCTCTTATAATTTGGTAGTAATGTTGGTAGGACTGTTCATTTTAGACCTCACACAGTCTGCAGGTTTTAGTAGCTTTCCCTCCTGCTTTGGCTGCTTGAAGTCTGTATTATGTATTTAAAATCTTTATATTTCTCTAATATTATAGTTTCATCTTTGTACTGTAAAAAAAACAACAAATGCCACCCTGGTGCCAGTGTCCATGTTTGCGATGGGTCATGTGTTGCCAGACTTGATTTAACGAGTTGATAACCAGCCTTGTAAAACTGTTATCCAGGCTACAGTTGTTAGATTTAGTGAAGCCAGATAACGAAAGATACCCCGGGTATGCTGAACTGTCTGAAAGTTGAAAGCTCTGCCTCCCACTCTGCTTTTGGAAGCTTGGGGGAAACTTTTTTCCATCATCAACCCTGTAAATCATGTGTCTGCACAGGCAAGAGCCAACCGAATCCCCTCAAACAATACTATAGAGTGCATCTTGTGCGAATTCTGAATGTAGCTCAGATTTTATGCCAAATATTTTGGATAGTATTAAGGTCAGTTTTACCAGAAATGCAGTGATACCTGTAACTGATGTATTGATAACAGACAGGTGGCAAAAAAATAGGAGAGAACCAACATAAAGCATTTTATTAAGATGCTGGTCCACCATGTTCACCATCAATGCACCTTTGGCATTGATTCTCCAAGTTTCTGGAACTCTACTCATGCAATGAAACACCATTCTTTCAAAAGATAGTCACTCTTTTGTGTTTTAATGATGATAGTGGAGATCGCTGTGAAACACATTGGTCCAAAACCTCCCATAGGTGATAAACCGAAAATAGAAATTGTTTTGTCACAGCTGCTACAATCAGTCAAGAACCCACATCTAACCCTGAACATTTCTGGCACAAAAACTATTTACAGATGTACTAACATGTAGAGTGAGCTAATATTTAGAATAGAATAGAATGCTTTATTGTCATCAAACATGGTGCATGACGAAATTTAAGAACTAATAAAAACACACCTTAACATGGAGCCGTGAACCACTGCGTCCGTACGCGCCACCGTCTTGGAGGCTCTAATGTGCAAAATACATAGTATAGAAAATATTAGGGATGCACGATAGATCGGCGACCACATCGGCATCAGCCGATATTAGTGTTTTTTCCCATATATCGATATCGGTCCGATGAACAAATTTAGCCGATATGAAAAACGATGACTGTCTAACGTTAGCACCTTCGTCTCTACATTTGATATTGCTGCTATTTCACAGATGTTTTTATTTAAATGGTCCTGGACTTGAACATTAAATATGTTTTATGTTTTACTTTTGTTACGTAACAAAGAAGACTGTGGTTTAATTTGGTATGGGCTTCTTCTGAATCGTTTTCACGTTCTCACAGTGCTTACTTACGTACATTTTTTGGTGTGAACATATATTGAATATCGACTTCGGTAATATTGGTTATCGGCAATATCAGAAATCTTAATATCAGTTATCAGTGATATCAGAAATCTTAATATCGGATATCTGTATCGGCCAGAAATTTTAATATCGTGCATCACTAGAAAATATGCAACGTGCAAACATGTAGTAAATGTATAATGTAGAAAACATAGATTGTGTAAAATGACTTGCATAATTAAAATCTTAATAAAGCATGAAGAAATAAAAGATCTATATATGTGTCCCTTCAAGGCAACAAGTGGACCCAAACCATGCCAGCAGAATGCAATGTTGCAGCATAACAGAGCCACCAATCACCCTTAATTTCTGGTGTCAGAGGTTTTAGGTTTTCCTTTAATTTGTCACCAGTCTGTATATTTTCTCTCTTACTTTGAACCCATCAACACAACACTGTGTGTAACACATGCAGGTGACCATCTTGTCTAAACTCTGTACTAAATAGGAAACATCAAGTCCGATCTCGCAGCACATCACGAGCTGCCGCTCGCAAAGAAACACAAAGAGACGTGACGAATGCGTCTCTTTTTTAATGGAAAGTTCACGACGCTTTGATAAATCAACTTTACCGAGAGACTAATTCATCCATCGTAATTATCACCGAGTGTGGCAGAGAAAATATACCAAAGAATGTTATCGCAGTAACAAATGACCTAATTAACGTCAAATGTAATGTTTTTAGAAAAATCCTGCATGGCCAACAATCCCTCTTACGAGACAGCGTCCCGGTGAATAAGAAGGACAAAATGACACAATTTATTATATTTATATTTTAATAGAACAATTCATGTCATAAAATATTTACATGCAGAGAATGGAAACCGGACAGAGTGGAGTGACAGATGTGGCCATAACTGCCAAAACAGGCTTTGCCCTTTGATCAAAGGCGGGTGTCACCATCGAGTCGTCTGCTGGTTGTAACGTGGGGGGAACAAATGGTCTCATTAGGGGAGGAGTGGAGCAGCGAGGGAGCTTCTCCGGACCCCTACCACACCCCCAATCCCTGGAGGGGCATGAGTGTGTGTGTGTGTGTGTTTATATGACCGACATAGACAGCTAGCTAGAGAGAATAAGTGATTTTAGCTAAGTATCTATTAACTGTGTCCGTGTGTGTTGTCCTGATTAGATTTGGCACTAAAACATCCCCCTTTGGCAGATCATTTCCTTAGAGGTCATTTATAGCACTCTGTGAACACTATTGTATGTATCTGATGGCACCACGCTGATATGCAGCCGTGTCACTTGACAATGTATTCCAATGGTCACGTTCTTTTTTTTTTTTTTAAGTGAGCGAGTGTAAATAACACTGATAATTACCTCTTTGCAGAAATGAGCCTCGTTTTTATTTGAAAACACTGAGAGCAGATTTCATTTAAAATCCTCTATCGCTGAAGCAACGCTGAGAGATATAACAGCATTTCAAATGTCCATCATTTATGAATCCAATAGCAGTGAGAGCGGACTGGCTGTGTTTGTCTGCAACAAGCTCCAGCACGTCTAATAAAACATGAACTAAGGCTTGAGATACTGTAATGCTGTAATGTTTTTGACGTGGGTGGAAGCAGATGACACCAATTTTTCTGCGAAGGGGTGGGGGGTGGGGGGGATAGATACTGTAGCAATGAAAAATATATTTACAGCAAAAAAAAAAAAAAGCACAGGCCCTTTGAAAATCAATCAACAGTATTGAGACTTTTTAAAAAATAAAAGTACCACACGTTTCTTCAAATGCTATGTACCAAAAGAGCTGTACCATGTGTCTGACATCTGATTGGTTACTACTTGTCAGAACAGAAACGCCAAATAAAAAAAAAGAAGACATTGGACACATTGGGTTTCCCTTAAAGCAAGTCAGACATACATCAGTGCTCTTTTAAAATTATACCACTCTGGACGTTTGTACAAATACATAAAATTTCCATTGAGTAACAATTGGTTAAAATAGTGCTCTAACTATATACAGGCCTTGGTCGGCATGTCGTCAGTACAAGCTACAAACAGACAGATATGTTTTTTCTTTCTTTTTCTTTTTTTATATAAGATGTTCAAATTGTGCAGAAATGTAACTAGCTTGTAACGATGCTTTTCATAACCTGTGTATAAACGCAGTACCGTCGTATTAAACACTGTGCTTTAATGCCAACTGAAGACTGTACCAAGATTAGACTCAACAAAAAAAAAAAAAACACGGTAACCAAAAATATACAACATTACATTTATCGTGTCATTTTTATCACATCTTCTGAACTGGTTTCGACCTGTGTGCAAAATGACAACAACAAAAAAAAAGCTCCTTCTTTGTTATTTTTTTTAAAACAGCGAATTCTTTAAATAGTCGAGGGGGAAGCGTACCTAACTGCTGTGAACCTCGCGAGTCACTCTCGTTTAGTATCTCAGTAAAAACACTAGAAACTTCTATAAAAGCCTAGTCACTTTTCTCTCACATACACACTCTGCAACATTTCACAATTACACAACAATATGCATCTTCAAATAAATATGAATTTCACAAAAAAAAAAAAAAAAATCATCGATATGGACTGTAAAACCTCTAAAAAATGCTTCCATAATGTACTTTAAAACCGCGAGCCGGTCCTGCAGATGAACAGTCTGACCCTGTGCTTTGTTAAAGCCCATACATTTGCATAAGGACGTGTATGCAGCGGTCACATCTTATCTATCAAATGCTACCGTTGTTTCTACTAACCGCACATCAGGTTTTTTTTTTCTTTTTTGTGCCAAGAACCTTTTTTTCACAGGAATTTCTTGCACAGTGGAGGTGCTGCCAACCCTGACGAGGAACAGCCTCGAAACACACCATCTGACACCTCAATAAAACATGACACTGAGTCACCTGGAGAAAAAAAAGCTGGAAAGACTAGCAGCTGCAGAGGGGACATACAAATAATATTACCTTCACATGTACAGTAAGTGCATGAAATTCATGAGCATATGGCACTGAATTCTTGGTATGTGTTTTTTTTTTCACAGGCATCAATAGTGTCCTCAGCTAACCCTTAAAATGGAGTGTTGTGATTGGATATTTATTTGATTTTTTTTTCCCACAATCAAGTGTTGTTAAGGCCTACCAGTACCAATGACATTCACCTTGTTTGATAAATTAATCAGATATGATAAACCGTACCGGGGCTGTAATGAGGACGCTCATGCATTGATGATGGATGCTCTGGTGTGCCGTTTTTTTTTTTTCTCTCCCCTACAAGTCATGCACCAAAAGCATGCCTGAGAGCGAGTTTAAAGCACTGCAGTGACTGTAACTGTAAGATGCACCGTTTGGGGAAGATTCGCCAAAAAGCGCCACAGATGTAGATGATGAGAAAAACAAAAACTCAAAGGCGGGACGTTTCTCGGTTCAGACCCAACTCCGCAACGCTCTCGTAGTCGGGCTCGGCTTTGGCAACGTCTGACCCCTCCGCCCCCAGACCGGCCCTGTGGTCGTCATCCGAGCTGCTAGTCTTTGGGATGCGGATGGTTTCGTAGCCGGGATCCGTGCCGTCCAGGGCGGGGTCTTCCCCTCCCGAGTGGGGCTCGTCGGGTTGGGAGTAGATGTCTCGCACCGTGGCGTAGAGGTCGCTGGAGGAGGAGGCCGGGACCAGACCTTTGATCTCTGCGATGCTGCTGTAGTCGTGCTCTTTGTCTTCCTCGTTGACGGCATCGTCACAGTTTGTTTTGTCGACCGTAGAGTACACCTCCGACTGCAAGACAGGGAGAAGAGACCAAAAAGGCACGTGAACCGTCTGGAGTCGTCATTAACCTAGTTTAATTTGTCAGACCAAAAAGCTGTGAATCAGACATGTAATTTCAGAAGGGATGGTAAGAATGTGGGCTGCAAGGTGGAGCAGTGGTTAGCATCGTTGCCTCGCAGGAAGAAGGTCGCCAGTTCGCGTCCCAGTGAGGACACCTGGGATCATTCTGTGTGGAGTTTGCATGTTGTCCCCGTGCAGCGTGGGTTCTCTCCAGGTTCTCTGGCTTCCTCCCACACGGTCCAAAAACATGTTGAGGTTAATTGGTGATTTTAAATTGTCCGTAGGTGTGAATGTGAGTGCGCTTGGTTGTCTGTCTCTAAGTGTAGCCCTGTGATAGACTGGTGACCCTGCCTTCGCCCTAAGTCGGCTTGGACAGGCTCCAGCCCCCCGCGACCCCAGTGAGGATTAAGCGGTGTATAGATAATGGATGGATGGATGATAAGAAGGTGAACTGTCGAGACATTGATGCTTTCATACACCAAAAATCCCTGCTAAATTTCTCCCCTCGTAGCACTTTGTCTCATGTTTTACGAATATTTTAACAATTTCCACTGTCTCTCTGTCTTTCTTTTTGTTGTTTTTATCTTTCTGATGCTCGGAGCATTGGCATTCACATCGCAAAGTGCTGCTGTCTCGGGACTGGAAAGTACAGTTTAGGGAATAAGGGAGTTTAACACACACTTACCTCATTGTCTGACAGAACGTGGTTGTCGAACCCCGGTGCAGGAGACAGAGGGGAGTGTAACTGGAGGAGGAAAGAACAAAAAGATAAATTCAGATATGGCAGCCGGTGCATGAAAGGAAAAGACTGAGTGCGGAATCAGAGGTTTACAACACTTCCACGGCTCACAAAGTCAGTGGCGGTTAGGAACATTTAAAGGGTCGTCGGTTGCGTCTTCGTGTAAAAAATATAAACTGTTGCTCTCGAACTTTAAGCTATAAAAACAGAAAGCAGAGATAGAGTTGTTCCAAGCAACTTTGGGGCGAAGGCAATTAAGATGTGGTTGGATTTCTCATCGAGCTGTAGCACTAAAACACGCTGGCAAACTATCGACAAGTTCTCAAAAACATACACACCAGTCGACAATCTCGCTCAGCGTGAAAGAACGCTCAGCAACTGATCAATAGCGAAATTCTAAACTGCAGCCGTTCCCAGCTGTGGGAGGAAAAACGCGCTCTGCATTTGCTGTTTCGGCCGCCGCACGCATGAAACTAATGTTCTATATAACCACCCATTCATTAAAAAAATTATTGAGTGGAAGTCAATAAGGCAGTGACTGAGAGTGTGATGCTTTTGTGCACAGCCTCTGTCCACCTCGCCTTATGATCGATGAGGGAGCCATTAATCAACAAAGCACATCTGACAGCAGTACAAAACACCTCAGGAGTCTAACAAGAATCTCAATATCCCTGCCAGCAGCGCCTAAATAGTTTATATCAAGGAAAGGGGAAAAGAAAATGGAAAAATATTGCTTTTCGTGTCATTTTTTTTATTTTGGAGCTTGATGCGAGGATAGAAATTCAGATTCAGTCCTTGGTTGGAGTTGGAGGTACCAAGGTTATTGCTAATGTATTTTTTAAAAAAGCAATAGCTGTTCACTTTGAGCCCTCGGTGCCAGTTAAGGACACATCTCTATGCGAGCTGCACTCTCGAATGGAAACCGGCGCGCACGGATCATCCATCAAACTGTCCGCCGCGGCGATATGTCAGGGTATCTTCAACCGGTTACATGTTTCTCTGGCTTTTTGTCAAAGCGCGTAAATCAATATGATTACTTTTATGGCGAACGCATGTTTAGAGACATGATTACTTTTATAGATCCGACGTGCACTTTGTGACGCCGGCACATGCCTTTTTTCGTTTCACTTTAATTAGCCGACCAATTAGGCAGAATGCCCCCTGAGGAGTGTTTGGATGAAACAAGGACGCAGGTGACTCGGCCCAGTCACTGCACCTCTGAATGTTTGCTCATCTAACATGCAGCCCTTTTATCCTTGGCGCCGGTATTAGCGCAAATTAAAGTGGAATTTTAATTTAGTTAGCAACACAGTCTGAATTAAACACAGCATATAAACTGAAGCATATGAGCATTAAATCAGAGTCTTAAAAATGTAATTAATGCATAATAAATGAATAAAAAGTCCCATAAAAGTGTTTGTTTGTGTCCTTACAGATCGAGGCATTGGCATGTTATCGTAAGACGTGATGTGCTTGCGTGTGTTTATGTGAGAGAGGATTATGGGGATGTGTCTTTATGGAAGATACAATGACATACAGGGCATTGGCGTGTGATTGTAAGCTGATTACAGTCGCCTGAGAAGACGGAAGGCTCAGGTGTCAATGTGTCAGTCGTGGTGACGCACACGTTGACATGCACGGATATGAATCAGTATTAATACATCAGCTCATACCGTCGGGGTCACACGTGGTCACTCAGGTACACAGACAACTCCAAGCAAACCGCAGAAATGCAAATTACTTTAACTACATTAACACCAACTCAGGTTAAACCACGAGGAAATCCTCCATCTAACAATAGTGATTCCCTTCACTGACAGGTGGCTCAACAGTGCTGACATGCAATATTGCAGTTTACCTGCACCGTGTCCCCGATGTGTGTCCCAGCGGCCCCGGCGGCTGGGTCAAATTCATTTCCCGCACCCCGCATGAAAAGCCCGCGAGCGACAACGCGAGCAAATGACTGCAAACAAGTGTTACCGCCGTTTGTGACAGTTCAATAACTGTTCCACGGCACTGGATCAGAGGAGCTGGGAGGTCACAGGAGGCCGTGCGGGGGTGGTATTTCCGGGGCGAAACCAGGCGTACGTATTTAAAAGTGCTGGTGTGTGTGAGGAAGAATGCGTGTGTGCGAGCGGCGTTTAGCGAGCCACTACCTGAGGGGATTCCTCTCAGACATTTACATACAGAAACCTCAGTGTATGCACAGATGATTTGTGCGTACGCGTAAGAGACGGAGACAGAGAGAGAGTTTCTATAGCCCGTATCATCCATCATGGAGCCAGACGAACTGTCATAGTGATGGTGGCCAGCTGGTGCTCGCTCACACACACACACACACACACACACACACACACACACACACACACACACACACACACAAACACACACATACTTTCATGCATACACACACACTTTGTCAGACAAGACAAATCGCAGACGACTCCTGTTCATACATGGGCGTAAACCACAGGGAGCCAGGAACATTCACGGTTAACCTTAAATCAGCCCCGAGGTGTGTGTGTGTGTGTATGTGTGTGTGTGCAGCAGAATATATGTAAACACACACACACACACGTTATAGTATGCGTAATATGAGGGGGATGGGAAAATTAGATACATGTGGGTGCGTACATTTGTGGGGTGGGTGGTTGCATAAATGAGTACATTTTTTAAGTGTGTGTCTATACGTGTGCTTGCCAGTGTTGTGGAGCCGTGGAGACGTATTGGAGCGCACTAGATCAAGATTTCATCACAGATACGGGGGTCACACGAGGCTACGTTTGCCTGCTGTCCAAATGGGAAGCGGTGATTAACTAATTGGCTGCAACACCAGAGACAAAGGAACACAGAGATGCGACTAAAAACACGGAGAAGAGGAACGAAGAAAGAGAAGCAGGAGATAAAAAATGTCCTTTAATATATTGCGTCGTGAGTCGTTTGTGCTGTCACTTCTATCAGCTATCATAACACCGTCGTCACTGAAGGGGATGTTGAGATGTGGGAACGGAGCAACATTGCCACAACAAAAATCCACCTGGCTAAGAAAGCAGCAGGTTGTAAACAAGCTGTCAGCCAGATTATCTAAACCATTTTATTTGAAGGTAAATTCAAAAGGGAATTCATCTGAGATGTTGATAGAAATGTGCCAATGGTAAACTGTGTGCACCCACAGCTACTGCAAGTAAAGTTGTGACTCCATTATCTGACCCTTAACAATCTGAAAACCTTGCTATCTGAAAAACGAACGGAACCCATAAAAAACAGCCTAAACATACCGACAGCCTTGGATTCCAACTCCGACATGACATTTTATGTCACAAATCAGGATAACGGCGTATTATCTGACTGAACAATCTGACAGATTGGCTACGTTCAGACTGCAGGACTTAATGCTCAATTCAGATTTTTTTGTGAAATCCAATTTTTTTGTGAGTTCGTTCACATTTCCAATTAAATACGACTTGTATGTGATCTGCTATGTGAACTTCATACGACCCAAAAGTGTCCCACATGCGCAGAAGAGGACACGACGACGTCACACGCAGCCAGCGTGCTCAGCGTTCATGGAAGTCAACACCCACCGCCACCAATGGTGGAAACAGAACAGGGACCACTATCCTAAACTGGCATCAGCAGCCAAGTACTGCCTGTGCCTTCCGGCCACTTCCACCCTATCGGAGCGCTCCCCCGGGGTGGAAGTGTACCCCGACCACGCCGAATATTCGGATATTCATCATTAGTTGGGCTTGAATATCCAGAGACCAGAAAGTGCTATTGGGACCAGCCCTACTAGTTATTATAACAACTATGAACAATAATTAACAACAAATGAGCCTTCAAGCATCAAGCCCTCCTTGTATCTCCACCTCCGTCCTGACAATCCGACAGCCTTGCTATCAGACATAAAAGAAGGTTTTACATTTAGTGTCGGATTATCGAGTCATGACTATATACTATTACATCTCAGTTTATCCAGGAAGTTAGTCTGCACATAAGACTTACAACTTCTATGTCCCTTCTACAAAATAAGTTTGGTAAAATCTGGGTTAGAACTAAGTCTCGCTTGCCCTCTCTGGCTTTTTAATAATGTTTCTACATTCACAAACCTGAGTAAGGGACTTAAATGCAGCCTTCAAGACTCCCAACTTGATAAAATGTCCAAATGGTATTTTTTAATATGCCGAAAGACTTGTGAGTGGAACAAGCACTCAAAACCACCGCTGAGCATTTCCACCTTCAAACTGCAGAGTACCGATGACAAAAAAAGGGATTTAAACAAACCAATTCTGTCAGCATGTAAGGTAGGGCTTACGTATCAGTGCTCTTCTTTAGAATCGGTTTCCAGTTTGACAAAGTGTGGCTGAATTACTGCCACATTACAACTTGCTGTTGTCTACAGCAGAGTGGTTTTACAGTGATTGTCGAACGTGAGCTGGTGTGCTTGAGCTGCATAGATAAAGCCACAGGGACTTCATAGATCTGCACATTCTAGAAGAAGCAACCATGCAGAGCTACATCGAAGCCAGTTTAAGGCATGGGGGGAAAACTTCTAGATATGTACCTTTGATATAGTTTTCAGGGGTTTATTCACTGTCCAGAAGGGAAATTTAATAATGCTGACAGCAATAAAGGCCAGAAAAAGATCCCACATCCAAGCTGGCAGCTGTGTGAGGCTTTTAGCCACAGCAGTAATTCGAGCTAAGTGCTAACATCAGCATGCTAACATGCTTACAATGACAACATTAACACGCTGGTGTTCAGCCCATATAAAGCTTACCGCTGTCACTGTTGTAATTTAACATGTTAGACTCACTAATTAGCAACACATTGAACCACTGAGGCTTAAACCAAAGTATTGCAGATATTCCATTTATGACCTAATGGCAGCACCATAAATAAAGTGAAGGAATCACCAAAGCTGTCGCAAATCCTAATGAGAGGAGAAACGAACACCTCTAATAAAAAATCACTGCAACCTATTTAATAGTTGGTGCACTCAATTAACACAGAATTCAACTTGTAATAAGAGATATCTGCTCTGAACTGATCCAGTCGCTGCTATAGACGATTTGAATAGTTCAGTCTGCTCGCCAAGCAGTAGTGGGTGTGAAAATAAGCTAAGTTCTAATTAACCATCCTATTAAACCAGAGCAGTGAAAGTAACGTGGCTGGAAGAAGAAAGCGAACGCACTGAGAACTTTAAAAAGGACCGCAGAGATGAAGAGTTGCCCTTTCATGCAGCTTTGTGTCAGATTGACAATGCGATGTTTAGTCTGACGCAATTCTTTCCGAGCTCTGAGAGTGTGTTAGTGCGTGTTTGTTGGTTTGTGTATGCGTTTCTCTGATGGATCCTGGCATGTGGAAGGCAGCGTGCTGAGAGCAGCAGCAGCAGCAGCAGCAGCAGCAGCAGCAGCAGCAGCAGCAGCAGCTCTGTTCAGTCCGTGACATTGAACTGCTTCTCTTCTCTTTTCACCTCCTTTTCTTTGATTCTTATTCCACCTCTCCTCCTATACGTCTCTACATCTCACCCTTTCACTTCTCTATAATGTCGCTTCTTCTGTATCATCCTTTTTTTTCTCCACTACCTTCCTCTGTACTACCGATGACTTCATTTGTATGCCGCTGAGTTTTTTTTTTTTTGCTTTCTTTCTCTCTCTATCTCGCCGTCTCTCACTCTTGACTCTCTTTCCTCCTCACCCTTCGTGCCTCGCGGTCCTTTCAGCAGTTTTTGAGTCAATCTCCCATCATCTCTCCGTCGCTATCTCTATTTCATCTATTACTCTCTCCAGCTCCCATTTTCATTCTTCTCTCCTCCCTTCACTCCTACACCGATTTCCCTCGCCATCCAATTTCTTCCCTTTCGGTCTGCCACTCTCCCTAAAGCAGCACCGAGATGGCAGCTTAGCAGATGATAATTGTGGTGGTGAGACACATCTCCCTGTTTTCTTTGTTCTCGAGCCAGTTACATTGACTCTTTTGCACGGTGTTGCTAAGTAGATGACCAACCTCAGCTACATCGGGGTATAAATATCATAATGAGAGACAGGTTGACCTTTTGTCTGATTTTTTTTGTGAGATAGAAGATTACTTTAAAATGTTGTGCAGGTTTGTTTGAATCTAAAATGATACAAATGCGTTCGATTGAGAAAACTCCATCTAAAAAATAAAGTCTTATCTACCTCCAAGGTCATGCGCTGGCTGAAAATCAAAACTCAAATCCTCCTTCTTCTTTTATTTAAATGCGAGAAATGATTTCCCACTGCGGTTTCTGCTCCTGCATAGCTCTGTCAAATGAGTTTCTCCTCTCTCTCTCTCTCTCTTCCATCAAATTACGAAATGAACCTTCATTATGCAAATTTCACTCCAATCTACAGGTGCGACACACACAGGATCCTCACCTCTCCATTGTGCAGCCCAGCCCCCACCAGGCCATTCATCACCCCTGGCTGGTTGTCATTTTCATCCAGAACCTTCTCCGGTACCGGTGGAGGTAAATCCTCCTCCGGTTCCTCCATGGGCTTGTTTGACGGGGCGGCGGCGTTGTCTGAGCGCCTCTTGGCCTCCATGTCGACGCTGTGGCGGCTCTTCTTGTTCAGGTCGACCGAGGCGTACTCCACCCCGGCACACAGGGGCCCCCGCTCAGGCGTGCAGGGGCTGAGGTGGCCGTTGAGGAGAGCGGGCGGGTGAGGCGGAGGTTCGTCGGGGCTCAGCCGGACGGTACCGTTGGGGAGGCCGAGCTTGGCGGGCGGGTCTTTGAGCTCCTTGACCGTCTCGTACAGGGAGTCCTCAACGCTGACGTCGCGGGACGCCGCCGCCATCTCCTTCACCACCTGGGTGTCAGAAAAACACACTGTTTTCTAGCTGTAAATTCATTTTTATTCCTAACCAATCAGAGCTATAATCTCCTCTAACTGGCAAATTCGCTCTAATTAAGTAACAAACTCTGCTCTTGGAAGGTGACTTTTAAACACTGACCTCATAGGTGCTGTCCCCCGAGGCTGGGGGCCCGTCCCCGATGAGGGCGTTGTTGGGAGGGATGCTGGGAAGCTCGCGGTCCTGAGGACACTTGGAGGACCTGAGCTCTGATTGGCTGGAGAGCATCTCCTCTGACAACTGGGGACTGGTGTCCTGTGTGTCTGTGAGGACTGGAGGGAGGGAGGGAGGGAAAAAAAGGAGAGGAGGAGGACGAGTAAAAAGCTGGTTAATATCGCTTTTCTCATCAGAGAGAGATGTGTTTTTAACATGTATTTCACGGCCATTGCAGTGAGTCACAATGACTGCCTCTAGATTTGTCTGTAACAGGTAGGAATGACGGAGAACATGACAGAGATACGCCCGTAGGAAAAAAAAACAACAGCTGAGGTTTAGAGCTGACATGTTGCATAACAACAGCTGTGAAGCAAATGTCATTATCATGTGACTTAATTAATGAGCGTAGAAGGCAGCAGAAATGCGCAGCACCTCGCTCTGCCATCGACCTCGTATAGTTAAACTAGTTAACGCGGTAAACAAAGGCAAGCTGAGCTAAAATGTGTCGGCTTACTTGTACCGCTGGTGAGAGGACCATTGTGAGAGCTGCTGATTGCCACGTCAGTCACTGGACTGTCTGCTGATTGGCTGATGGTCTCTCTCTCTGACACCTGCACAACAAAGGATAAGCTGTTTGTCACTGCTGCGCTCACAGCTCAGAGGCTTGGAGTTCATCTGAGGGCTGCAAAACACCAAGGCTGTTAATGCACAAATAAACAACACACAGTCTTAGGTTGTTTTTTTTTTTTTTTTTAATTAGATGTCACACCAAAAAAGGAAAAAAGCGAGAAAAAAAGGAAATAGAAATCAATCTGCACTTCTTCTTGCCGAGGACAGATGACTTTCACACCTCTGTGCAATCCAAAAGCCACTGGTTGCAGACTGTAATATGTTTGGAGCATCATTTAGGATCTTTTTTTTTTTTCATATTTGCAGCACAGATTCCAATTTCCCCGCTCCTCCTGTTCCTTTATCTCTGCTTTTCTAAGCTTTTTCAATCACATCACTGATTACCTTAAGCTCATTATCAGAATGTTACGCATGCTTAATTAAATGTATTTATACCTAACAAGTAAAGACATCTAAAGATAGCTAACAATTCAGTATGAACAACAAACAAACATAATATACATTAACTAATTTGGACCTGATCAACATATGCTGAAGGGTGACTGGGTTTATGAGAGGCTATGTCAATCTGACAGCCTACTTTTGACAATATGTGGAGTACAAACCCTTCACGGACAGATGCCATTTTATGTTCTCAATGTCACATTGATTCCTTAATGAGAGGCACTAAAACCAAGCCGAGCATAATGGCACAGTTTGACCAAAGAAGGTGAAATGATGGCATTAGTAGAATAATAATGAAAACCATAGGAAGATGGTGCTTTGAGGATACCCACTGGGAAATTTGTTTCCCTATTTTACCCTGCTTCCCTCTACAGGAAGCTCGACGCCACAGAACAAGAGCTCTGAAGCTGGCAGAGATTCAGTCTTGCGAAAGGACACTTCAGCAGAGCACTTTGAGACTTTAAAACCTCCCATTCAAGCCAGTTTCTGTACTTGCAACATCATGGAAACATGGAGCGGGGGGAGAAAAAAAAATCTCTAATTAAACTGTCAGACTCCAAAAATATCCGTGCAGCCGGTTTGATCAGCCTCCACAGAGCAGAATCTGCTCCGCGAGTGAGCAAACACTCAAATCAACACTCTTCTCGACTCCAAATAACAGTCGCTGAAAAAGAAACTGCACTAATTAACACAGGATGTGCAGAGCACTTGCCGCACTGAGGCACGATTTATCAGGACGCACTTTACACACAAACTGTCGTGTTCGTATGCGCAGAATTATCAATCAGTCACTCACTGCTAAGAGATCAGAAAATGCAAAAAACCTCTTAAAACAGTGTGAGCCAAGATTGTTCTTTGTTTAGGTTTGTTGTTTTCCTTAGGTGTGAATTGAGGGTTACGTCTTAGAAGCTCCACAGCCCCACCTAGTGGCCACATGCACTCATAACTGTTGGTGCCAATGATGTAATCTTTAACTATTTTATGACCCTAATATCTTCTTTCTTTTATTGTCTGAAGGAAAAGCTAAGAAAAGCTGTTAGTATATATAATTTCTCTTAAGATCACAGCTCAGAGCAGAGTAATTGCTAAGCTGTGCTAATTTTTGCAAATACATCAGTGTTACAACATTATTTAACCTGAACTGTGATCAAACCAAAATGCTACACAATCACTGAGCCTGTGCTTTTACTACTTTAATAACTGTACGAGGATGCAAAATGAGCCACTTTGCTGAACGTGAGCTCTTTGTGTTCACCGATTCTGGACTCAAATTGAATTAAATTCTAATTCTGGTCCATTTGAACCCTGATCGCTTAAAACACGTCGTATAGCGAAGGATACGGAGGCACGAATGTCGGGTCGCAAGAAAAGACGGATTGCGGGTGAGCGAGGAAGAGCTAATCTACTCATCCGCAAAGACAAAGACCCCCATTTAACCTGTCAGCCTGTGACATGGTCCTTCATACAAATGGGCCCCTCTTGAAACAATTTGACCACCCAGCAATTGCGCTGCTGCTTAAAGGTTACAGTGAAGATATCCATCAAATGCAAAGAGCCTCTGAGGATGGTGTGTGTGCACAAGGAGGCATGTAGGCTGAGATATACACAAAGGCTCAGAGGGAGCGACGGAGTAGGAGCGGATGTCATTTAGTCGGTGAAAGCTGGGTATTTGTCACACTTAAATGTTGCTTGGTTCCTGACACATCAATATTATGGTTGTAGGTAATTACTATCTTTACATCTAAAGTGTGTCACTATGAGTAGTGCTCAACAAGAAAAGGGCAAAGGTCAAGTCTATAAGTCCTGAATATTCTCTTTCTTCAGATTCTTGAGTTTTATGAGTTTCATTCTTTCTTCCAGCGACTTCAGAAAAAGACACATGTGACCGATATTAAAATAAGTGATATGAGAATAGCAGTCGGTGGAATTTCCCCACATGAGCTCTCTGAGCAGGACGAACCACTTCCCCGTCAGCAGCTGCTGGCAATTTAAAGGCAATCTTGCAAACAACTGAATGCTGTCAATCAGCCATGTGCAAGGAGGTTGTGTTTTGTGTACGTTTCTGTGTGATGGGAAGTGGGTCAGAAGGCGAATGTCAGAGAGTGTGTGTCATAAGATTTCAGTGAGGAGATGTGTGTGATATTCAGGCTTGCAGACAATTTGTAAGCTCCAGCCACAGACTCATTTAGCAGTCTGCCTGATTACAGACGTATCACTCTCCCACAATGGGACCAGCGTGTATGAGCAGGATTAAATCTGTAATGCAGATGCTTCTGTTTAAGAAAGAGAATCTGTCTGACTGAACATATTTCCAGCAGAAACATTGAATTATTGTTTTTTTACTGCGAGAACTGAGCGTTTTTTGAGCTTTCAAAGGCCTGTACTGGGGTTGTGTCCGAAGTCATCTACTCGTGGGCGGCTGTGGCTCAGGTGGTAGACCAGTTGTCCTCTAAGGATGAGGCAAGGTTGGCGGTTCAATCCCCGGCCCCTCCAGAGTCAAAGTGTCCTTGGACAAGACACTGAACCCAAAGTTGCTCCCAATGGCAGGCAGCACCTTGCATGGCAGCTCTGTCGTCATTTGGTGTATGAATGTGTGTGAATGGGTGACTGAGAAAACATTGTACAGCGGTTTGAGTACCACTAAGGTAGAAAATTGCGATATAAGTGCAGACCATTTACCATTCACTCCCTACTCCCTACTCACTATACAGGGACCACTATATAGTGAACTAAGTAGTGAACTGATGTATGTCAGGAGCACCTCGGCAAAGTAACATTTCGGACACTACTCGAGCTATTAATTACGTCGCTTGCTAGCTGCGATTTGTGCCGTAGCAGCGTAGTGCAAACACATCAAATTCAGTTTATTGCCTAGCTAAGAAACGCTTAAAATGAAATTTAACAAAACATAAAAGGGAAAATTACTTACATTTTAATGACAAGTTTTCATGCTCCTGTTCACATTTCCTTTCACACAATGCATGATGGTCCATATCCCTCAGTTAGTGACCATCGGCTGTACACTACTTTTCACGGTGCATTGTGGGATACTTTGAGTGCACTCTGTAGGGTGTAACGTTTGTAACCCAACATTCGGTACTATGTAGGATGTAGTGGGTGATTTCAGACAAAGCCTGGGTTTGAGGTTAGCAAGATAACTTCAGGTTTAACTCAGGGGTACATCACCATGGCAACTTATGCTTCACACCTAAACTGATCTGTTGCAGGTTTTGTTTAAAATAACACATAAAGTATTGCCTCTTTCCCTGATGAGCACAGATATGAGAGATACAGAATGTCACTGTAGTGAACGTCAGTCTTCCTTGCTTTACGTTTTTCCCGTCGCCTGCAGGACGTTTCAAAGCCAATTTATAGCAACATGATCCTAAAACTGATTAAAGCATTAAAGCCCTGTACTTGTGGACGCTATGCAAGCCAGGCTGTGTACTGGTTTGAATTATGTTTTTGTATTTGTTCTTTGCTTGCCCTCGAGAGCGTTTAACACTGCCGTGGCTGCAGCTGAAAGAATAAAATTGTCTTGGGTGCCGTAACAATAGGCTACATCTAAGCAACACATAAATCTAGTGGAGGACACAATTGCAGCCTAATTATATTCAGATCCACTCACACCTTATTGATGGGGCGGTGATATTAATAAGCCTATTAACACATCCACACAGTCTGCAGTTTTTTTGGTTTTTTTTTACCAGCTTTTCTTAATGCTTTAGCTGCAGCAGCTGCGTTGCTTTTAGCCTGTATTGTGTTTTTAAACTCCTCGTATGGATTTAGGATTATATCTTGTGGCTCTGTCCATGTTTGGTCATCTGCTGTCAATACACCTTCATAATTAAGTTAAGAAATCCTCTCATAGTCGATAACCAGCTTTATGTGAATTCTTAGCCAGACATTTGTTGGACTGAGTGAAGCCAGACAGTGAAAATATATCGTGGCTATGTTGGACTTGCTGTGTAGTACAGGCCTCCAAACAAACCCTGACTTAATTTATCTTTAAAAAAACATTCATGGTTACTCACATTGTTTGCATGTGTGTGAGAGGCTACGTATGCACGGACAGGAATGTTCACACAGGCATGTAATTACTAATCTGCCTGCCACACTGTGGCAAGACAACTGCTTCCCTCCACATCTCATCTCACAGCTCACAGATGACAAACACAAAGGCGTCGTAAGCAAAGATTGGATGTTATTAAAAGTCATTTCATACATTTTAAAATTTTGTTCACGTGTGTGCCAGACTCGTGTCCAACTCACCCCATTCATGAGGTTTTCGTGGTCTCCTGCTGGATGTCCATTCACTGTTTTCTTCTGCCTAAAGGAGAGACAGATGGGAAACAGAGAGAGAGAAAAGATAAGCGGCGGATTACAATAAAACACCATTCATGGCTCCGTCTGCCTGTTATTCATGGTTTGGAGTTTTGTTTTTTTGCAGCACGTTGGCTCTTAAATGAAACCGTGAGGATAAAAAACTATTTTTAGAGACATGTTAATGGAATTAAACTGTATATTTTAGCATGTAATTCAGTTTATGGTGGTGTCAGCTTGACTGCATTATATTTAAAGGTGCTTCTTATATTCTAAGTGTAAAAGGGAAGGACATCCACGAGCACTTTTTTATTGGTTGGTTTGAAACAGATTTAAACTCAAACCACTATATTACATCAATATCACAATTTTAAGTTTAAAATAACATCAAAATCACTTTATTTAAATGTCCCATTGACAGATTTGTTAAAAACAGACCACTTGTTCAATCTAGATTCCGTAAAAAGCATAACATTTGGCACTCTGGCACAAGCGTGAAGCAATTTCTGACTCAGCTGCAACCAACAGTTATCTGACAAAAAATCTGCAACTTTTCATTGATCTGGAGTGAACTGCAGTCTGCGTTTACAGAGAACAGATAAAAGAAAAACATGGAAGCAAGTGCCAAATGCTAAAAAGTAAAATATTTATAGTATATAAAATCGAATTTGTTCCCCAATATTGGTAACGCTTGGAAAAAGGTTGTATATGTTAATTCATTTTTTTCAAAATAAATGTAAAATAAGTAATCAAAGAAATGTAACTTTGTTCTTTTTTTTTTTTTACTGACATCTGCATCTCAACATGGTCCTCCAGCTGCAGTATGTCAGACAGAAAAACCCTACAGAGGATAGTTGGAGGAGCTGAGAGGGTCATTGGAGTTTCCCTCACCTCTGTCCAAGAACTTTTCCAGAGCTGTTGCAGGAGCAGGACACTGAACATGGTCAGGACTCCTCACACCCTCTCCATAAACTGTTTGAACTGCTGCCATCAGGCAAATGTTTCCAGAGCATTAAAGGAAGAACCTTCAGACTGATCAACAGCTTCATTCCACAGGCTGTCAGAATGCAGAAGTGCTGATCCAGACATGCAAACACTTGTTTATTTAAATTACTTTAAGTTATTGGATCCTGAAGAAACACTCTCTCATCTTATTTGTACTACTGTTGTATGTACAGCAACATGACAACAAACCTGATTTGATTTTTGATTTTTATGATTTATGGCATTATAACTGTTAAAATGCACAACAGACCTTTTAAAGTTCTCTCTACATCTAGCCATGGTTGTGCTGTGGAGTGCAGGACTGTATATTTCAGTGAAAAATCAGTCCACAGTCAGTTCAAATGTGACAGCAGCAAAAATCGTCCAGAAACTATCATTGAAGTACACACTACATTTGTATTATTATTTGTAAACAGGAGTGCATAAATGTCAAAGGAATGGAAGGGTGTAAAAGAACTGGGGTTGATTTGAAATCCATTTCTGTTTGTTATACACTGAAATGTGTGAAATGTTTTTTTTTTTGGTTTTTACTTTACAGATGGTCAATGGTAACAATGGTTTTGTTGGCTTTGTTTACAAACTAAATTGCAAAATAATTGACAAAAACTTGATTAATCTGTAATGAAAATAATCAGCTGTACTCGTGTCAAAGTGATAGTTTAACCTGAAACCATGTGACTATGATGGAGGTTCAGCAGTGTAACTCTCAGCTCAGCTCTATGCTAAGTTAACAGGAAGCGTGCCTCTTTCAGTTTTGAGGGTTACACATCAAAACTATTCAACATTCTACAATTTCTACAGCATCTGACAATATGGCAGAACATTAGCACCACGTTAATTTCACTCATTGTTTCATTGCAATTCCAGTGAGACAGAAAGTTGTCCAGATATTAATGGACTGTACCTCACTTCACAGTTTAAACTCATGACATTAATAAACCTTTAGTTTCCGTTGTGCTGCTGACCAGCAATGCTCTGCTTGCTTTATCAGCTCTTACAGTAACTCTGTATCTAAAAGATGAAACCATATCCTGTTCTCCTCTGGTTGTATATTTAGGTCTGTGTTCTACTTTGAAGGCACCTTTTTTTTGACAGCACACGTACTCATTCATAATAGCTGTATTAAAGCACTAACACCCCAGAGGGCTTCCTTTACTGCTACAGCGCGGTTCTATATAGTCGCTGCACCTATAATTACTACAGCTAAGAATGTCCCCTCAGGTATTTGTGCACAGTCGGCAATTCCGATAGGAGTACATTTGCTTCAGATGGCTGACGCTGCAGGATGTGTCCACCTGAGAACCACGAAGCTGTTTTCATAGTATTCGTCGGGCGCATCTTTAAGATATGTGAGTGTTATCTGGAGCAACTACAGTAACAAGCATGATATGGGTCAGTGGTGTTGATGTGTGTGTGTTGTGTGCTCACCCCTGGCAGCTAGCACACAGCAGCAGCAGCACAGAGACCAGCAGCAACGCGGTGAGGACGCTGAGGGTGACCACCAGGACCAGCTGCTCGCTGCCCAGCCACGACGCCACACCGGCGGCAGCCGCCGTCCCCGAGCCGACCACGCCGGCCTCCGGCCCCCACCACACTCCACTCAGCACCGGAGCCATGACACATCACAGTGTGGGAAGAGAGGACATCGGACAGGTACCAGCTGGGGAAACACAAGACAAAACGACAAACACGGAGGTATTAAAATCTGTAGCTGAAACAGGATCTAGATTGAAAAAAAACAAGATGATTTATTTTTCCAGCAATAACTGTATGGTTACTTCTTTTAGAGACATGACAACAAAGTGAGCAAATGGAGCAACCTCGTATTTATTGTGTGATTGAAGAAAAGTGTTCATGTTTGTGAGGATCCTAAATGATCACTGTTGGTTGAGGATTAACACAGTTTACTGAAGGATACAATGAGACACAAAGCGCTCTGCTGCTATGAAAACGTACTGAAATATAACATTTTTCTGTCAGAAAACTTCATTAGGCATTTCCAAATTCCATTATAAGATGCTCAGGAGTGAAACCTCCATTGGTTCAGTTAATTTGTCAGATATTTATTATGAAACTAAAAAGGCCAAGTTACTCAAATGTCACTTTTGTGCAAACATTGTGATGTCCTTGATCACTGACTAATTATCATTCATTACTAAAAACAGAAAGATTCAAAGCAAAAGGCTGCTGATGTTCTATATTTTTGTTACGATGAACAAATTCTATACATAAAAAAAACACAATTAAATGTGTTGGTGTGTCTTCCAATACTTTTTGATATCCTCAGCCTTTGTATCTCCCATCCAAGAGATGTAAGTCCTTAAAAACTGTCAACTAATACCTTTCGAAAAGGCAAAATAATTTTCCAAAACAGTTGGACAATGTACACTTTACCAAATTTACTGAAACTGGAATAAATTGTATTTGTTGGGGACTATTCTAAGCTGAGGATATAATACCCTCTTCATTGTTTATGGTAACAGGACAGTGTATATGGGATTGACTTGAAATAAACATGACTTAACTTGAAAATAATACAGTACCCATGTGTATTTTAACAAAGAACATGTCAGCGAGTGCGTCATGTATCATTAAGGAGCTCCATGGATCTACATCAGGTTTAACTTGTTGTTGAATTCATTTTGGATTTGCTGAGTTCTATCCTTCATTATTAACTCTGTGTATCCTCCACCTGCATACAGTAACCGGGCTTGGCCAGCAGGTGGCAGAGCAGAGCAGAGCCAGACTGCAGTGCAGACAGCGATCTGCCTCAGTCTGCTGCAGTGGCCTCTCACACCAGAGCCTCCACAACCGGTGTCTGAGCTCTGCGCACAGCATCAGAAACCTCCTCACGTCTCCGTCTAACAGCTAAAGTTGGGTTTCAGTGAACTGATGGAACCCCTGATTTTATCACGGGTGATTTATGGGGCCGTGTGGAGTTGCCGGTGAGTCGCGACGGGGGGGAAGGCGGTGGCAGGGAGGAGATTGCGTGCCTCCAAAAAAAAAAGAGAGAGAGCAAAAAAATAAATGTGGAGAGGGTGGCTTGTATCCTACTATGTGTGTGTGCTGTGGGGATGGAGAGTCGGAGTAGGGATGTAAAGATGATCAGAAAGGAAAGGTGATGTACGAGATGAGTGACAGCATGCAGAGAGTGTTTTCTCTCTCTGTGTCTTTCTATCTGCACGTCCTTCAGCAGGAGAGACAGCTACAGCAGCAAGAACTGGAGGGCAGTGACAAAAATACGACAATCTATCTTTCCTTGTCTATTTCCTCCCGGCGTGTGCACGAGCCAAACTCCTGTCTGGTGTTACATGTGTGTGTCTGTGCCAGCGGTGAAAAAAAAACCCTCCACTGTGTCTCGCCTATGCTAATGTGACTGGGGAGTGTGGGAGCTGGGGAACTAAGTTTTGTGGCGAATCAGCTCAAGCTGCAGAACCCAATTTCTAACTTTCCTTCAGAAGGACACAGAGGAATTCCCGTTTTTTTTGCTAAAAAAACAAAAAACAAAACACAACCACCACCCCAGATGAAAAAAGCACAACAGGGCTCATGTTGCTATCAGTGTGAGTGGCTGGTGAGAGGCGAACACAGCCTTACCTTGACACCTCGGATGATTAGTCAGGTCGGCCTCGCCTGGAAGAGAGCAGATAAAAATGAGAAGGAGGCGTTGGGATTACTGCTCGGCGGAGGTAAAGCACTGAGCTGTATATTATCCTTGGAGGGTGTTGTTGTTCGGTGAGTGTGTGCAGATGTAGGCTGGGTTGTGCATGCGAGTGGGAGAGCAGAGAGGGAATTGGGAGTATGTTTATGTTTGTTAATATCAAACATGTATTGGACAACAGGCTGCCTGCACACATTTCTGCTCACACACCCTTTTAGCAACATGTACAATACCCAATCTTGCACAGGGGACACACACAACGTCCACCTTATTGATCGCTCAGTCCATGTAACCGAGAGGATAATAACCAGGTGACATCACTGCTAAATTGTATCATATAACACATGATATCGATTGCATTCACTGCAACATTTTACATTAGGAACACACACATGTACGCTCCCCCGAGGCGCAGGGTTTCTAGTTATGAACTCCAGATCAAATCGACTCGAGGAGATTTTTGACTTTCGCCTCCTGATTTTGCTTCAAAATTACTTCCGTGGTCAAACTGTCGCCCGATGAATCCGACCTCGTCTGAGAGGCTCGTGTCCAGGTGTCACTATCCGCCGCCGTGTGCCAGCTCGCGTGTGTCTCTGCTGGCACTTAAACCAGAATAATTACCGGCTGCCACAGCACTGTGTCACCATGGCAACATTTCCTTCTACCCATCAGCGCTATTTATGGTGGTGGAGAGGGGAAAAAATAAAAAAAAACCACAGAAATGTTTTGAAAGCAACTCATAGAGGAGTGTTAGGCTGCAGGTGGTTTATGTGTTCAGGTATGTTATTGGTTCACTCGTTCTTGGCTTCATTGTGTTCCTAGTTAGTTTCCTTCCAAGCTTTAAACCAGCGTGACCGAGAAGTCCTTAAAGTGCTCGAACGATCTATAGTTTCACGACGACTGCATCTGCTGAGGAAGACCATGAGTGCAGTCAAAAGGTCCAGAACAGTTACTTAGTACAGAAGCCACTTCACCATCTGCTGCCCTCTTTAACCGCTTTTCCACCGAGCTGGTTCCAGTGCTAGTTCGGAGCCAGAGCCTGACTTAGCACCAGTTCTTTGTGTTTCCACCACCTAAGCACCAGCTCCAGGTTCTCAAAACTGGTGCTTAGCAAGTACCAACTCTTTAATGGGTCAGAGCTAAGAGCAGAGTACGTCAGGAGTTGGGGGCGGGCTTATCGTGACCAACGAGACCAATGGAAACACATAATGGGACACACAAGTGGTGATTTGTGTCGTTTGTTGCCAGGACGTTTCTGGTCCGATCACAGATGTATTGGAATGAGTCCCGAAACACATGGAAGTTTTGTACAAACTTGCACGCTTAAATCCGGGACAGTTGTGTCCCATTAGCAGCACCACAGTGGAGGAAAACAGTACTTATATAACTTCAGTGTTCTGCGGTATTTTCGCTTAGAAATGCGGTCCACATGCGTGTTTTGTCCACTCATAGAAAAGACCGCATGACAAAAAATCATTCCGTTTCATCTTGGACAAATCTGACATCAGAACGCCCTCATTTACTCTTTTCAAAGTCATTTTTGGTCGCATACCGGCCTGTCACCAGCCACCAACAGCAGCTCGCACAGCCTACTATGTGGGGCATTCGGGAAACATCGCTATATTGTTGCGTCTATCGATAAGAAACTGTTCAGCAAGTCATATGTTTTGCCTGTGACAAGATGGGAAGTGCGACCAAATGAGAAAGTTAGTTGCACCGGTATAAAAAAAGTACGTCTGGAGTCCTGTGTGGACTTTTGTATGGTGCGAGCGTTGTTCTGTAAACGGCTACGTACGCAATGACGTATGGCGTGGCTCTAACTTGGCTCCTCGCCGATGGAAAAACAGGTTCCTAGGAGGTCCAACTAATCACTGGCACTAGCACCAGCAAAGAACTAGCACCTGGTTCTTCTTGGTGGAAAAGGGGTACTTGTGGTTTCTGTGCAGGTCTCCCAAGGTGCGCTAGTCTGCAGCCACCTGGGCCTCTCGTCACTGCAGCTTCCCTTGTTGGAGGCGGTTGCCCTCATGAGACGAGTTTCAAATTAGATGTAATTTCAAGTTAGTTTATGAAATGATTTATAATTGTCGTTATCAGCTGACATGGAACATTTTAGTGAGATAAATGGTTCAGCTCTTTCCCCCAGCTCTAACAAATACATCACCGAATTGCTGCTCCAACACCTCAAATTCCCAGTGAGTGAGAGCTTGTTGTTTTTGGTTCATCCAGTGTTTCTTCAGCTCTCCTGTGTTTACATTAGCAGTGAACTTGGTCCACTTGCAGCATATGTCCACACAATGACCTCACAGATTGCTAACGCATGCGCAACTCACAGTGGGTGGTGGCAGATGGTAAATTTGGCACATGCTAACTATCTAAAGATGCTAGCTAAACATCAACAACCTTCCTACACAATCACAGGCTTCACCTTTAAACGGGAACACGGTGTAACAAAGTCTGACCTTCACCAAAACTGAATGCACCACCTCATGCCACACTTCTCCTTTCTTTGTATTGTCAGCACAGATGAGAAAAGTGAAATCATCAACCAGTAAAGATAAACATGACTCTGACACACTGGTTTACCACCGAATATCCTATGTGTAAATGGCTGCATTTATATGGCAACTTCAAAGTGCTTCACAGTATATATACAGTAACCGCAGCCATTTCATTTTAATCGAGTAGCAGCATCTTCAAGAATGCACTTGTATTTTGTACTACAAGCTGTAACTTTCATTCATCATTTTGGACAAAAAAAAGCATCTGAAGATGTAAAGCTGAAGTCACAAGCAATAAAACACCCCATTTCAGTGTTAAAGCCTTACTTGGTCTGGTTAAAAACACAAGCTTGGTGGCAAATGCTAAGAAACTTATGTAACTGAACTTGCGTAAACTGCTGTCTGACTTCACTATGTCAGTTCCTTGACCTTAAGACACTTCTCTACTTATCCTAGACTGACTATGTTGTAGCTCATAGCTGGCAAAGTACATTCCTCGCACTTGCTTCCAAGACTCCGACTCTGCTGTTGCTGCTTTGTATGGCATTAAAACTCAATCCCAGCTTGTGCCATCTTCACTCAAATGGTATGAAGAACCTGTTTGGTACAAATGAATGAATAACATTGCAGACATATTTCCCTGCTGAGTCGCAAATATGCTCGGAATAAACCGCTCAGTCTTTCATCTGAGGACACACTTCATTGCTTAATACTTGGTAAATACCATACGTAAAAGCTCTGAGTATCTTTTTCACTGTGGAAAGCTTCCTCGCGGCCCACCGCTATGCGATTCAAGAAGCCAAGCCAAGCACTACAACCGGACTCGCTTGCGCTGTCATTCTCCGTCTCCCGCCGCTTTCAGGCTTTGATGAAAGAAAACAGAAGCCTTGGAAAGGAGACAATCGGTGTGGCTGTCTTCTGTCCTGTGCCATAGAAAATAACTGACTGGAAAAGTCATTTAAAAAAAAAAAAAAAAGGAATGTGTTTTGGGGATTCGAGGCAGGAATCCAAATCCTCCCCTCAGCCAGCTGTACCCATAGAAACACACACACACACAGGGCTGAGACTAACCATAAGCCGCATCATGGCAGAACCTTCCTTGTAAGAAACTGCAGCCAAGAAAGCCAAGGCATCGAATCTGAACCCTGCTGCTCTACAGGCAGAAATTCTACCTGACCCTGCAGCAGAGAGTACAAGTCAGGCAGAGCCACATGTGAGGATGTGTGGGAGTTTCATCTGTTGGACTCGCCTCAGGAAAGGAGAGGGGGAGAAAAAACCCCCAGAAAAATTAACATCCACAGGCAAATCAGTGCCTCGGTTTCCGTGGATGCTTTTGTAGGCGCGCGACACCTCCTCCCCTCTGCAGGGTCCTCGGGGTGCACGCAGACCGGGGAAGGTTTACAGCTGGCTGGCTGCTGACGAATGAGCCCCAGGAAGCTTCTCAAAGGAGAGCCAGAGGCATTTCCACAATAATAAATAATCCAGTTTTTAGGGGAGGAAAAAAGACTTTCTTTAGGAAGTTACGTGGAGCTGTGCAGGAAGCCCAGAGTCACATTTCTCAGATTATACAAGAAGCCGGAGAAGAAAGTGATGACTGGAGTTTATTCCAAACAATGAGATTGCTGCTTGAGAGCATCTTTTTTGTGCATTGTTTGGGGAGAATGCAGCGGGATTTAGCAGAGCATCCAAAAGCACTGCACTCTGTAATTTACTGTGATCACTTCCGGCCAGCAAAAATACAAAAACATACACTACAAACACTACAGCTTCTAGCAGGGATTTGGCATAAACTAAAGACCTTTTCCCAGCTAAACCTCCAAATGAAGCAGAAAACACAGCTTCTTCAAATAAGCCTCTTATAACAAGCTATATGTTTGTGTATCCTTTGGCAGACGCACAACAATGAATACGATCACGATGAACACAGTTACACTAACAAACCTTCCTGTCTAATACACAAATTGCCTTTTTTCTTTTTTTAGCCAACTTTCATCCTCGTTCCATCTCACAGTTGGTCATCGTGAAAACAGAAAAACAACGAGCGCCATCAGACACACACGCCACTGACCATCTTGTGTCCTGACCGGAGGGCCATTTGGAGGGTGGGGGTGCGAGAGATGGGGGGAGGGGAGACGAGAAGGATGCAGCCAAGAGAGGAGAGGATGGAAGATAAAGAAGGCGAGGGGGGGGGGAGGCAAACAAGATGTACAGGAAGCATACAGCGACCAAAAGAAATTTAATGAAGGAGAGAGCGGATTAAAGGAGGGGATAAAAGTAAAAGAGATGGAAATAAGCGGTGAAAGGAACACAGAGGCTGATATAGTCGCAGTGACACCCATCCCCAGGGAGGGCTTGATGATATACAACTCCCCACGGGGATGAAGAGGGCTCTGAGACAAAGCGATGTAGTCCCTACATGCACGCGATTGCATGCAAACACAGAAATATCTGGCTAACAAATACAGAAACTTGGAAGTGTGTGTGTGTGTGTGTGTGTTTGTGAAGCCAGAGGGCCGAGACTTATTGTACATCTAATCCAATCAAGGCCTCGAACAGTCTTCCCTAATACTCCTTCTTGCCGGTGCATGTGGTGCAGGAGCATATTAAAAAAAAAAAAAAAAACAGGTGCTTCAGATCAAGGGACACATCAGCGTTGCCATAGTAACACTGGCCATCCTAAGGGGTTAATGGTTTTAGTATGAGGAATTGATCTATCCTCCCTAAATGAGGAAATTGAAACTGCATAATTTAGCAAGGCTCCCAGTTTTTTTTGCTCCCTCTTCTCATATTACAAGATATGCATGCCTTATCTTCATCCATACTCACGACTGTGCTCCCCCTTCCCTCTCTCGCTCTCCCTTTTTTTTGCAATATACAGTAACTATATCTGCCGGCGGTAACATTTATAACCATCTCCCGCTGGGGACTTATAAGTGAAATATGAAGCACTTTCCCCGAGCAGATAAATGTTTTCCTCCCCGAAGTTACTCACGATCCAAAGAGATTAAAAGAGAAACAAGCGAGCGTCTTATCTTTCACTCTTAAAGCGCACAGAACATTTGCGCATATGTTACTTCTTTCTTTTTAGTGTTCCAGCTGGCAAGAGGTGAACTACATCCTCCGGTTAGTGCTCATCCTTCTACGTGTTTTTTTTTTTTTTACCCGCAGAATCCAATTTCAAGGATTCAATGTCATCTTCCCGACCAGCTGCGAGGCCGCACAAACGGCAACATGTGTCTTATTTCTTCACCGTAAATGACAAAAAGCTCCTCTCTCTCCCTCCCCTCCTCTAAGCCTTCGCTGACCTGCCCCGACCTCCCGAAGACACTGAAGTCCATAGAGGCTTTGTGCATATGTGCAGGGATTGTGTAAACACGTGTGTGCGTCTGTTAAAATCTGCCTCCCGTTAATGTCAAACCGCCCCATGGGAAAAGCTGCATTTCCTGTCTTGGTTTGCCAAGTTCTCGAGGACACCGATGACCCCCGGAGCCTGTGGAGGCCTGCAGATATTTCTCTCACAGAACACAACTGAACCAGAAACTGCTGTATTCAGACCGGATGAGCACGAAACTTACTCGCTGGATCACCTCTGGCGGTTTTTTGCTTGATTTGCTCTCGAAAAACATGTTTTCGCGGATAGAGGATGGTAACTTCAACAAAATGCTCATATTAGGTCTATAAATTACATTAATGTTGAGCAAAATTCACATCTTCCATCTGTGTAAGGCTTCTCTTCTCTTTCTCCTACTTTACAAACCCTCTTATTGTGTTTTTTTTTTTTTTTGCCTGAGGCAGTAGCTCTGCATTTAAATCATCAGGACCGTGAGCGTCCCTTCAATTAAGCTCGACAAAGTGTGTCTGTGCGAGGCAGTAACGCGCTCCACGGTAAGCATATTCATTCCCAGACCCTTTCAATTTCAGTTCTACTTTTCTCTTTCCTTCCCTTCTTTCGTCTTGGTGAAAGCTGCTCTCTCAGATGTTTCTCTCTTGCACACGAAGAACCTTTAGCTTTCACATCTTTCGCCTTGGAAAAGCAGAAGTGCATCGTCCGTGTCGAGAACTTCGCCCATCCGTCTGCAGCAACCCCCGTAACAGCCGTTGCTTTAACTGCCCTCTGAACATGACAAACAAAAAAAAGAAAAAGTTTCCAAGCACAGCATTGAGCGCCGTGTTTTCGCCAATCTGCTGCGCAAGCAAACACGGGTTAAATTGAAATTTAATGAAGCGAGCTACATTCCACACGCTTCTTTTTTTTTTTTTTTTAGTCTCCGTGTCCCGACAAAGCACTTTTATTCTCCTCACTGCAGCCCTATGAAAAAAAAAGCATTCTGTCATTGTCTCAAACTGATTAGCTTTGCGACAGCGGTGCCACTCAGCTAATAATAAACTCCGAAAACAAAAGCGACTTTGGTAATTGTGCAGCCGAGTGAATTTACGGTGATTAAACAACCCAGCCAGGCGTGTCATCCAAATATGTAAATTGGAGGCGCGGAGCGTGGATTAAAAAAATAAAAAACAAAAAAGACGGATTGTTGTAATGATTTCACGAATTGTCACTCACATTGTAAGTGACCTTCTCGGCGAACACCGGCAGCGGGACGGAGATGAGGGCTGAACTGTTGAACTCTGGGAGTTTGAAGGAGGAAGTGTGTCTGTCTGCATGTTGTTTTATTAGACCTTTCTCCTCCTCTTAAAAGAAAATATTACCAGCACTCGTACAAACACATGCGCACAACCCCGATTAGGCAATAGCAGATTTATTCAGGGCCCGAACGCCTGTGTGCATAAAAATTTCCCCATCATTGTCACCTTGAGATGAAGATTAGCATTAGAGTGAATGAGGAGCAGATACAACCGCATCATTATTCAGTGACATTGGCCTTTATGTGTTGAATAGCTGCCAAGATAAAGGGATTATCAGGGTGGATGGAATAGGATGAGGGATGCTGTATGTGCGTGCGGTTGTGGGTGAGAAATCCATTGAGGCAATTCATTGTGAGGGCTGCTAATGAGATGCAACAGATGCCTGCAGACGAACGATTTCATTGCGGCGGCGGCAGGGCGACACACGGGCGACGCGCTTTCGCTGTCACAAATGTATTAACAACCACCAATTTAATTCTTTCTTCTTAGAATTACCACACCCCAACTCTGCTGCTGCTGCTTCTAGGAAAATTGCAGCGCAGCACTTCATCTATCTCCTCCTGTGACACCAGCCTTTTGGACAAAAGGCACAGGGCAAAAGGGGGAATTAATAGAGGTGTGTGTGAGAGAGAGAGAGAGAGAGAGAGAGAAGATGAGCGACTGAAATGGAAATGTGATCCATCTTTACAAGGCCCTAACCACAGCAGGGGTGGGTTTATTAGGTGACCCAGACGAGGCGACCGGTAGGGGGTCTGACCCTTTTCAACCCTCTCTAACGTTCCTACAACACATTGCTGTGGCTGTGCTTCAAGAGAAAGCGAGGTTTCCTAATGTGTGCATTTGGTTAAAGGAGGGGAAAAGGGAGGACAGAAGGAAAAAGTGGAGGAGGAGGAGAACGAGGCGGCTCCTGACCTTTTCGGTGCAAGCCATTTTTCAGACGTACTTCTACTCCCGGGGATTTTTAATAGCAAGCCTGACAAAAAATGCGCAACCCCGGTTGGATGTATTGGTGTCTTCACCCCTCTTAAAGCTTCGGCCCTCAACCTTTCTCTTCACCTTCGCCAAACCAGACCATCGCATATTCAACACGTCTGCTGGCCCCCCATAAATATATGGTAAAATATGGAAGCCTGCAGGGACTCAAAGGGCACATCTACAATCAGAAACAGCAGCTGGGGGGTTGGGTGGACAGTTGAGGGGGGGAGGATTTTGAAGCTAAACATACATGGCAACCTCTATAAGAGAGAAGAGGGGGGTTAGGAGGATGCTGCAAGACGTGGCAACCCTCAGACAGAGCAATCTTCACGTTTTCTGGTTACATCCGACTCCGCGCACGCCTCAGCAACTCCGGGAGATTGCACAAGACAGATACACTTCTGTCTTCACCTTTTCCATTTGGTTTCTCATTTCACAAAGCCGAAGATTATTCCGTGTTTCCCGGAGGTAAGTACGGCACGGAGGGTATTCGGCGGAGAAAGGGGCGAACTCCAGGGGGCAGAGAGCAGGAATCAAAACCGGCAGCAGATTTGGTGAGAATGTGCACAAAATGGTGTTTCGGTTTCTATTTCAGGGGAGTAGTTTGGCTTGAANATTGAACTGCTTCTCTTCTCTTTTCACCTCCTTTTCTTTGATTCTTATTCCACCTCTCCTCCTATACGTCTCTACATCTCACCCTTTCACTTCTCTATAATGTCGCTTCTTCTGTATCATCCTTTTTTTTCTCCACTACCTTCCTCTGTACTACCGATGACTTCATTTGTATGCCGCTGAGTTTTTTTTTTTTTGCTTTCTTTCTCTCTCTATCTCGCCGTCTCTCACTCTTGACTCTCTTTCCTCCTCACCCTTCGTGCCTCGCGGTCCTTTCAGCAGTTTTTGAGTCAATCTCCCATCATCTCTCCGTCGCTATCTCTATTTCATCTATTACTCTCTCCAGCTCCCATTTTCATTCTTCTCTCCTCCCTTCACTCCTACACCGATTTCCCTCGCCATCCAATTTCTTCCCTTTCGGTCTGCCACTCTCCCTAAAGCAGCACCGAGATGGCAGCTTAGCAGATGATAATTGTGGTGGTGAGACACATCTCCCTGTTTTCTTTGTTCTCGAGCCAGTTACATTGACTCTTTTGCACGGTGTTGCTAAGTAGATGACCAACCTCAGCTACATCGGGGTATAAATATCATAATGAGAGACAGGTTGACCTTTTGTCTGATTTTTTTTGTGAGATAGAAGATTACTTTAAAATGTTGTGCAGGTTTGTTTGAATCTAAAATGATACAAATGCGTTCGATTGAGAAAACTCCATCTAAAAAATAAAGTCTTATCTACCTCCAAGGTCATGCGCTGGCTGAAAATCAAAACTCAAATCCTCCTTCTTCTTTTATTTAAATGCGAGAAATGATTTCCCACTGCGGTTTCTGCTCCTGCATAGCTCTGTCAAATGAGTTTCTCCTCTCTCTCTCTCTCTCTTCCATCAAATTACGAAATGAACCTTCATTATGCAAATTTCACTCCAATCTACAGGTGCGACACACACAGGATCCTCACCTCTCCATTGTGCAGCCCAGCCCCCACCAGGCCATTCATCACCCCTGGCTGGTTGTCATTTTCATCCAGAACCTTCTCCGGTACCGGTGGAGGTAAATCCTCCTCCGGTTCCTCCATGGGCTTGTTTGACGGGGCGGCGGCGTTGTCTGAGCGCCTCTTGGCCTCCATGTCGACGCTGTGGCGGCTCTTCTTGTTCAGGTCGACCGAGGCGTACTCCACCCCGGCACACAGGGGCCCCCGCTCAGGCGTGCAGGGGCTGAGGTGGCCGTTGAGGAGAGCGGGCGGGTGAGGCGGAGGTTCGTCGGGGCTCAGCCGGACGGTACCGTTGGGGAGGCCGAGCTTGGCGGGCGGGTCTTTGAGCTCCTTGACCGTCTCGTACAGGGAGTCCTCAACGCTGACGTCGCGGGACGCCGCCGCCATCTCCTTCACCACCTGGGTGTCAGAAAAACACACTGTTTTCTAGCTGTAAATTCATTTTTATTCCTAACCAATCAGAGCTATAATCTCCTCTAACTGGCAAATTCGCTCTAATTAAGTAACAAACTCTGCTCTTGGAAGGTGACTTTTAAACACTGACCTCATAGGTGCTGTCCCCCGAGGCTGGGGGCCCGTCCCCGATGAGGGCATTGTTGGGAGGGATGCTGGGAAGCTCGCGGTCCTGAGGACACTTGGAGGACCTGAGCTCTGATTGGCTGGAGAGCATCTCCTCTGACAACTGGGGACTGGTGTCCTGTGTGTCTGTAAGGACTGGAGGGAGGGAGGGAGGGAAAAAAAGGAGAGGAGGAGGACGAGTAAAAAGCTGGTTAATATTGCTTTTCTCATCAGAGAGAGATGTGTTTTTAACATGTATTTCACAGCCATTACAGTGAGTCACAATGACTGCCTCTAGATTTGTCTGTAACAGGTAGGAATGACGGAGAACATGACAGAGATACGCCCGTAGGAAAAAAAAACAACAGCTGAGGTTTAGAGCTGACATGTTGCATAACAACAGCTGTGAAGCAAATGTCATTATCATGTGACTTAATTAATGAGCGTAGAAGGCAGCAGAAACGCGCAGCACCTCGCTCTGCCATCGACCTCGTATAGTTAAAGTAGTTAACGCGGTAAACAAAGGCACGCTGAGCTAAAATGTGTCGGCTTACTTGTACCGCTGGTGAGAGGACCATTGTGAGAGCTGCTGATTGCCACGTCAGTCACTGGACTGTCTGCTGATTGGCTGATGGTCTCTCTCTCTGACACCTGCACAACAAAGGATAAGCTGTTTGTCACTGCTGCGCTCACAGCTCAGAGGCTTGGAGTTCATCTGAGGGCTGCAAAACACCAAGGCTGTTAATGCACAAATAAACAACACACAGTCTTAGGTTGTTTTTTTTTTTTTTTTTAATTAGATGTCACACCAAAAAAGGAAAAAAGCGAGAAAAAAAGGAAATAGAAATCAATCTGCACTTCTTCTTGCCGAGGACAGATGACTTTCACACCTCTGTGCAATCCAAAAGCCACTGGTTGCAGACTGTAATATGTTTGGAGCATCATTTAGGATCTTTTTTTTTTTTCATATTTGCAGCACAGATTCCAATTTCCCCGCTCCTCCTGTTCCTTTATCTCTGCTTTTCTAAGCTTTTTCAATCACATCACTGATTACCTTAAGCTCATTATCAGAATGTTACGCATGCTTAATTAAATGTATTTATACCTAACAAGTAAAGACATCTAAAGATAGCTAACAATTCAGTATGAACAACAAACAAACATAATATACATTAACTAATTTGGACCTGATCAACATATGCTGAAGGGTGACTGGGTTTATGAGAGGCTATGTCAATCTGACAGCCTACTTTTGACAATATGTGGAGTACAAACCCTTCACGGACAGATGCCATTTTATGTTCTCAATGTCACATTGATTCCTTAATGAGAGGCACTAAAACCAAGCCGAGCATAATGGCACAGTTTGACCAAAGAAGGTGAAATGATGGCATTAGTAGAATAATAATGAAAACCATAGGAAGATGGTGCTTTGAGGATACCCACTGGGAAATTTGTTTCCCTATTTTACCCTGCTTCCCTCTACAGGAAGCTCGACGCCACAGAACAAGAGCTCTGAAGCTGGCAGAGATTCAGTCTTGCGAAAGGACACTTCAGCAGAGCACTTTGAGACTTTAAAACCTCCCATTCAAGCCAGTTTCTGTACTTGCAACATCATGGAAACATGGAGCGGGGGGAGAAAAAAAAATCTCTAATTAAACTGTCAGACTCCAAAAATATCCGTGCAGCCGGTTTGATCAGCCTCCACAGAGCAGAATCTGCTCCGCGAGTGAGCAAACACTCAAATCAACACTCTTCTCGACTCCAAATAACAGTCGCTGAAAAAGAAACTGCACTAATTAACACAGGATGTGCAGAGCACTTGCCGCACTGAGGCACGATTTATCAGGACGCACTTTACACACAAACTGTCGTGTTCGTATGCGCAGAATTATCAATCAGTCACTCACTGCTAAGAGATCAGAAAATGCAAAAAACCTCTTAAAACAGTGTGAGCCAAGATTGTTCTTTGTTTAGGTTTGTTGTTTTCCTTAGGTGTGAATTGAGGGTTACGTCTTAGAAGCTCCACAGCCCCACCTAGTGGCCACATGCACTCATAACTGTTGGTGCCAATGATGTAATCTTTAACTATTTTATGACCCTAATATCTTCTTTCTTTTATTGTCTGAAGGAAAAGCTAAGAAAAGCTGTTAGTATATATAATTTCTCTTAAGATCACAGCTCAGAGCAGAGTAATTGCTAAGCTGTGCTAATTTTTGCAAATACATCAGTGTTACAACATTATTTAACCTGAACTGTGATCAAACCAAAATGCTACACAATCACTGAGCCTGTGCTTTTACTACTTTAATAACTGTACGAGGATGCAAAATGAGCCACTTTGCTGAACGTGAGCTCTTTGTGTTCACCGATTCTGGACTCAAATTGAATTAAATTCTAATTCTGGTCCATTTGAACCCTGATCGCTTAAAACACGTCGTATAGCGAAGGATACGGAGGCACGAATGTCGGGTCGCAAGAAAAGACGGATTGCGGGTGAGCGAGGAAGAGCTAATCTACTCATCCGCAAAGACAAAGACCCCCATTTAACCTGTCAGCCTGTGACATGGTCCTTCATACAAATGGGCCCCTCTTGAAACAATTTGACCACCCAGCAATTGCGCTGCTGCTTAAAGGTTACAGTGAAGATATCCATCAAATGCAAAGAGCCTCTGAGGATGGTGTGTGTGCACAAGGAGGCATGTAGGCTGAGATATACACAAAGGCTCAGAGGGAGCGACGGAGTAGGAGCGGATGTCATTTAGTCGGTGAAAGCTGGGTATTTGTCACACTTAAATGTTGCTTGGTTCCTGACACATCAATATTATGGTTGTAGGTAATTACTATCTTTACATCTAAAGTGTGTCACTATGAGTAGTGCTCAACAAGAAAAGGGCAAAGGTCAAGTCTATAAGTCCTGAATATTCTCTTTCTTCAGATTCTTGAGTTTTATGAGTTTCATTCTTTCTTCCAGCGACTTCAGAAAAAGACACATGTGACCGATATTAAAATAAGTGATATGAGAATAGCAGTCGGTGGAATTTCCCCACATGAGCTCTCTGAGCAGGACGAACCACTTCCCCGTCAGCAGCTGCTGGCAATTTAAAGGCAATCTTGCAAACAACTGAATGCTGTCAATCAGCCATGTGCAAGGAGGTTGTGTTTTGTGTACGTTTCTGTGTGATGGGAAGTGGGTCAGAAGGCGAATGTCAGAGAGTGTGTGTCATAAGATTTCAGTGAGGAGATGTGTGTGATATTCAGGCTTGCAGACAATTTGTAAGCTCCAGCCACAGACTCATTTAGCAGTCTGCCTGATTACAGACGTATCACTCTCCCACAATGGGACCAGCGTGTATGAGCAGGATTAAATCTGTAATGCAGATGCTTCTGTTTAAGAAAGAGAATCTGTCTGACTGAACATATTTCCAGCAGAAACATTGAATTATTGTTTTTTTACTGCGAGAACTGAGCGTTTTTTGAGCTTTCAAAGGCCTGTACTGGGGTTGTGTCCGAAGTCATCTACTCGTGGGCGGCTGTGGCTCAGGTGGTAGACCAGTTGTCCTCTAAGGATGAGGCAAGGTTGGCGGTTCAATCCCCGGCCCCTCCAGAGTCAAAGTGTCCTTGGACAAGACACTGAACCCAAAGTTGCTCCCAATGGCAGGCAGCACCTTGCATGGCAGCTCTGTCGTCATTTGGTGTATGAATGTGTGTGAATGGGTGACTGAGAAAACATTGTACAGCGGTTTGAGTACCACTAAGGTAGAAAATTGCGATATAAGTGCAGACCATTTACCATTCACTCCCTACTCCCTACTCACTATACAGGGACCACTATATAGTGAACTAAGTAGTGAACTGATGTATGTCAGGAGCACCTCGGCAAAGTAACATTTCGGACACTACTCGAGCTATTAATTACGTCGCTTGCTAGCTGCGATTTGTGCCGTAGCAGCGTAGTGCAAACACATCAAATTCAGTTTATTGCCTAGCTAAGAAACGCTTAAAATGAAATTTAACAAAACATAAAAGGGAAAATTACTTACATTTTAATGACAAGTTTTCATGCTCCTGTTCACATTTCCTTTCACACAATGCATGATGGTCCATATCCCTCAGTTAGTGACCATCGGCTGTACACTACTTTTCACGGTGCATTGTGGGATACTTTGAGTGCACTCTGTAGGGTGTAACGTTTGTAACCCAACATTCGGTACTATGTAGGATGTAGTGGGTGATTTCAGACAAAGCCTGGGTTTGAGGTTAGCAAGATAACTTCAGGTTTAACTCAGGGGTACATCACCATGGCAACTTATGCTTCACACCTAAACTGATCTGTTGCAGGTTTTGTTTAAAATAACACATAAAGTATTGCCTCTTTCCCTGATGAGCACAGATATGAGAGATACAGAATGTCACTGTAGTGAACGTCAGTCTTCCTTGCTTTACGTTTTTCCCGTCGCCTGCAGGACGTTTCAAAGCCAATTTATAGCAACATGATCCTAAAACTGATTAAAGCATTAAAGCCCTGTACTTGTGGACGCTATGCAAGCCAGGCTGTGTACTGGTTTGAATTATGTTTTTGTATTTGTTCTTTGCTTGCCCTCGAGAGCGTTTAACACTGCCGTGGCTGCAGCTGAAAGAATAAAATTGTCTTGGGTGCCGTAACAATAGGCTACATCTAAGCAACACATAAATCTAGTGGAGGACACAATTGCAGCCTAATTATATTCAGATCCACTCACACCTTATTGATGGGGCGGTGATATTAATAAGCCTATTAACACATCCACACAGTCTGCAGTTTTTTTTGTTTTTTTTTACCAGCTTTTCTTAATGCTTTAGCTTCAGCAGCTGCGTTGCTTTTAGCCTGTATTGTGTTTTTAAACTCCTCGTATGGATTTAGGATTATATCTTGTGGCTCTGTCCATGTTTGGTCATCTGCTGTCAATACACCTTCATAATTAAGTTAAGAAATCCTCACATAGTCGATAACCAGCTTTATGTGAATTCTTAGCCAGACATTTGTTGGACTGAGTGAAGCCAGACAGTGAAAATATATCCTGGCTATGTTGGACTTGCTGTGTAGTCCAGGCCTCCAAACAAACCCTGACTTAATTTATCTTTAAAAAAACATTCATGGTTACTCACATTGTTTGCATGTGTGTGAGAGGCTACGTATGCACGGACAGGAATGTTCACACAGGCATGTAATTACTAATCTGCCTGCCACACTGTGGCAAGACAACTGCTTCCCTCCACATCTCATCTCACAGCTCACAGATGACAAACACAAAGGCGTCGTAAGCAAAGATTGGATGTTATTAAAAGTCATTTCATACATTTTAAAATTTTGTTCACGTGTGTGCCAGACTCGTGTCCAACTCACCCCATTCATGAGGTTTTCGTGGTCTCCTGCTGGATGTCCATTCACTGTTTTCTTCTGCCTAAAGGAGAGACAGATGGGAAACAGAGAGAGAGAAAAGATAAGCGGCGGATTACAATAAAACACCATTCATGGCTCCGTCTGCCTGTTATTCATGGTTTGGAGTTTTGTTTTTTTGCAGCACGTTGGCTCTTAAATGAAACCGTGAGGATAAAAAACTATTTTTAGAGACATGTTAATGGAATTAAACTGTATATTTTAGCATGTAATTCAGTTTATGGTGGTGTCAGCTTGACTGCATTATATTTAAAGGTGCTTCTTATATTCTAAGTGTAAAAGGGAAGGACATCCACGAGCACTTTTTTATTGGTTGGTTTGAAACAGATTTAAACTCAAACCACTATATTACATCAATATCACAATTTTAAGTTTAAAATAACATCAAAATCACTTTATTTAAATGTCCCATTGACAGATTTGTTAAAAACAGACCACTTGTTCAATCTAGATTCCGTAAAAAGCATAACATTTGGCACTCTGGCACAAGCGTGAAGCAATTTCTGACTCAGCTGCAACCAACAGTTATCTGACAAAAAATCTGCAACTTTTCATTGATCTGGAGTGAACTGCAGTCTGCGTTTACAGAGAACAGATAAAAGAAAAACATGGAAGCAAGTGCCAAATGCTAAAAAGTAAAATATTTATAGTATATAAAATCGAATTTGTTCCCCAATATTGGTAACGCTTGGAAAAAGGTTGTATATGTTAATTCATTTTTTTCAAAATAAATGTAAAATAAGTAATCAAAGAAATGTAACTTTGTTCTTTTTTTTTTTTTACTGACATCTGCATCTCAACATGGTCCTCCAGCTGCAGTATGTCAGACAGAAAAACCCTACAGAGGATAGTTGGAGGAGCTGAGAGGGTCATTGGAGTTTCCCTCACCTCTGTCCAAGAACTTTTCCAGAGCTGTTGCAGGAGCAGGACACTGAACATGGTCAGGACTCCTCACACCCTCTCCATAAACTGTTTGAACTGCTGCCATCAGGCAAATGTTTCCAGAGCATTAAAGGAAGAACCTTCAGACTGATCAACAGCTTCATTCCACAGGCTGTCAGAATGCAGAAGTGCTGATCCAGACATGCAAACACTTGTTTATTTAAATTACTTTAAGTTATTGGATCCTGAAGAAACACTCTCTCATCTTATTTGTACTACTGTTGTATGTACAGCAACATGACAACAAACCTGATTTGATTTTTGATTTTTATGATTTATGGCATTATAACTGTTAAAATGCACAACAGACCTTTTAAAGTTCTCTCTACATCTAGCCATGGTTGTGCTGTGGAGTGCAGGACTGTATATTTCAGTGAAAAATCAGTCCACAGTCAGTTCAAATGTGACAGCAGCAAAAATCGTCCAGAAACTATCATTGAAGTACACACTACATTTGTATTATTATTTGTAAACAGGAGTGCATAAATGTCAAAGGAATGGAAGGGTGTAAAAGAACTGGGGTTGATTTGAAATCCATTTCTGTTTGTTATACACTGAAATGTGTGAAATGTTTTTTTTTTTGGTTTTTACTTTACAGATGGTCAATGGTAACAATGGTTTTGTTGGCTTTGTTTACAAACTAAATTGCAAAATAATTGACAAAAACTTGATTAATCTGTAATGAAAATAATCAGCTGTACTCGTGTTAAAGTGATAGTTTAACCTGAAACCATGTGACTATGATGGAGGTTCAGCAGTGTAACTCTCAGCTCAGCTCTATGCTAAGTTAACAGGAAGCGTGCCTCTTTCAGTTTTGAGGGTTACACATCAAAACTATTCAACATTCTACAATTTCTACAGCATCTGACAATATGGCAGAACATTAGCACCACGTTAATTTCACTCATTGTTTCATTGCAATTCCAGTGAGACAGAAAGTTGTCCAGATATTAATGGACTGTACCTCACTTCACAGTTTAAACTCATGACATTAATAAACCTTTAGTTTCCGTTGTGCTGCTGACCAGCAATGCTCTGCTTGCTTTATCAGCTCTTACAGTAACTCTGTATCTAAAAGATGAAACCATATCCTGTTCTCCTCTGGTTGTATATTTAGGTCTGTGTTCTACTTTGAAGGCACCTTTTTTTTGACAGCACACGTACTCATTCATAATAGCTGTATTAAAGCACTAACACCCCAGAGGGCTTCCTTTACTGCTACAGCGCGGTTCTATATAGTCGCTGCACCTATAATTACTACAGCTAAGAATGTCCCCTCAGGTATTTGTGCACAGTCGGCAATTCCGATAGGAGTACATTTGCTTCAGATGGCTGACGCTGCAGGATGTGTCCACCTGAGAACCACGAAGCTGTTTTCATAGTATTCGTCGGGCGCATCTTTAAGATATGTGAGTGTTATCTGGAGCAACTACAGTAACAAGCATGATATGGGTCAGTGGTGTTGATGTGTGTGTGTTGTGTGCTCACCCCTGGCAGCTAGCACACAGCAGCAGCAGCACAGAGACCAGCAGCAACGCGGTGAGGACGCTGAGGGTGACCACCAGGACCAGCTGCTCGCTGCCCAGCCACGACGCCACACCGGCGGCAGCCGCCGTCCCCGAGCCGACCACGCCGGCCTCCGGCCCCCACCACACTCCACTCAGCACCGGAGCCATGACACATCACAGTGTGGGAAGAGAGGACATCGGACAGGTACCAGCTGGGGAAACACAAGACAAAACGACAAACACGGAGGTATTAAAATCTGTAGCTGAAACAGGATCTAGATTGAAAAAAAACAAGATGATTTATTTTTCCAGCAATAACTGTATGGTTACTTCTTTTAGAGACATGACAACAAAGTGAGCAAATGGAGCAACCTCGTATTTATTGTGTGATTGAAGAAAAGTGTTCATGTTTGTGAGGATCCTAAATGATCACTGTTGGTTGAGGATTAACACAGTTTACTGAAGGATACAATGAGACACAAAGCGCTCTGCTGCTATGAAAACGTACTGAAATATAACATTTTTCTGTCAGAAAACTTCATTAGGCATTTCCAAATTCCATTATAAGATGCTCAGGAGTGAAACCTCCATTGGTTCAGTTAATTTGTCAGATATTTATTATGAAACTAAAAAGGCCAAGTTACTCAAATGTCACTTTTGTGCAAACATTGTGATGTCCTTGATCACTGACTAATTATCATTCATTACTAAAAACAGAAAGATTCAAAGCAAAAGGCTGCTGATGTTCTATATTTTTGTTACGATGAACAAATTCTATACATAAAAAAAACACAATTAAATGTGTTGGTGTGTCTTCCAATACTTTTTGATATCCTCAGCCTTTGTATCTCCCATCCAAGAGATGTAAGTCCTTAAAAACTGTCAACTAATACCTTTCGAAAAGGCAAAATAATTTTCCAAAACAGTTGGACAATGTACACTTTACCAAATTTACTGAAACTGGAATAAATTGTATTTGTTGGGGACTATTCTAAGCTGAGGATATAATACCCTCTTCATTGTTTATGGTAACAGGACAGTGTATATGGGATTGACTTGAAATAAACATGACTTAACTTGAAAATAATACAGTACCCATGTGTATTTTAACAAAGAACATGTCAGCGAGTGCGTCATGTATCATTAAGGAGCTCCATGGATCTACATCAGGTTTAACTTGTTGTTGAATTCATTTTGGATTTGCTGAGTTCTATCCTTCATTATTAACTCTGTGTATCCTCCACCTGCATACAGTAACCGGGCTTGGCCAGCAGGTGGCAGAGCAGAGCAGAGCCAGACTGCAGTGCAGACAGCGATCTGCCTCAGTCTGCTGCAGTGGCCTCTCACACCAGAGCCTCCACAACCGGTGTCTGAGCTCTGCGCACAGCATCAGAAACCTCCTCACGTCTCCGTCTAACAGCTAAAGTTGGGTTTCAGTGAACTGATGGAACCCCTGATTTTATCACGGGTGATTTATGGGGCCGTGTGGAGTTGCCGGTGAGTCGCGACGGGGGGGAAGGCGGTGGCAGGGAGGAGATTGCGTGCCTCCAAAAAAAAAAGAGAGAGAGCAAAAAAATAAATGTGGAGAGGGTGGCTTGTATCCTACTATGTGTGTGTGCTGTGGGGATGGAGAGTCGGAGTAGGGATGTAAAGATGATCAGAAAGGAAAGGTGATGTACGAGATGAGTGACAGCATGCAGAGAGTGTTTTCTCTCTCTGTGTCTTTCTATCTGCACGTCCTTCAGCAGGAGAGACAGCTACAGCAGCAAGAACTGGAGGGCAGTGACAAAAATACGACAATCTATCTTTCCTTGTCTATTTCCTCCCGGCGTGTGCACGAGCCAAACTCCTGTCTGGTGTTACATGTGTGTGTCTGTGCCAGCGGTGAAAAAAAAACCCTCCACTGTGTCTCGCCTATGCTAATGTGACTGGGGAGTGTGGGAGCTGGGGAACTAAGTTTTGTGGCGAATCAGCTCAAGCTGCAGAACCCAATTTCTAACTTTCCTTCAGAAGGACACAGAGGAATTCCCGTTTTTTTTGCTAAAAAAACAAAAAACAAAACACAACCACCACCCCAGATGAAAAAAGCACAACAGGGCTCATGTTGCTATCAGTGTGAGTGGCTGGTGAGAGGCGAACACAGCCTTACCTTGACACCTCGGATGATTAGTCAGGTCGGCCTCGCCTGGAAGAGAGCAGATAAAAATGAGAAGGAGGCGTTGGGATTACTGCTCGGCGGAGGTAAAGCACTGAGCTGTATATTATCCTTGGAGGGTGTTGTTGTTCGGTGAGTGTGTGCAGATGTAGGCTGGGTTGTGCATGCGAGTGGGAGAGCAGAGAGGGAATTGGGAGTATGTTTATGTTTGTTAATATCAAACATGTATTGGACAACAGGCTGCCTGCACACATTTCTGCTCACACACCCTTTTAGCAACATGTACAATACCCAATCTTGCACAGGGGACACACACAACGTCCACCTTATTGATCGCTCAGTCCATGTAACCGAGAGGATAATAACCAGGTGACATCACTGCTAAATTGTATCATATAACACATGATATCGATTGCATTCACTGCAACATTTTACATTAGGAACACACACATGTACGCTCCCCCGAGGCGCAGGGTTTCTAGTTATGAACTCCAGATCAAATCGACTCGAGGAGATTTTTGACTTTCGCCTCCTGATTTTGCTTCAAAATTACTTCCGTGGTCAAACTGTCGCCCGATGAATCCGACCTCGTCTGAGAGGCTCGTGTCCAGGTGTCACTATCCGCCGCCGTGTGCCAGCTCGCGTGTGTCTCTGCTGGCACTTAAACCAGAATAATTACCGGCTGCCACAGCACTGTGTCACCATGGCAACATTTCCTTCTACCCATCAGCGCTATTTATGGTGGTGGAGAGGGGAAAAAATAAAAAAAAACCACAGAAATGTTTTGAAAGCAACTCATAGAGGAGTGTTAGGCTGCAGGTGGTTTATGTGTTCAGGTATGTTATTGGTTCACTCGTTCTTGGCTTCATTGTGTTCCTAGTTAGTTTCCTTCCAAGCTTTAAACCAGCGTGACCGAGAAGTCCTTAAAGTGCTCGAACGATCTATAGTTTCACGACGACTGCATCTGCTGAGGAAGACCATGAGTGCAGTCAAAAGGTCCAGAACAGTTACTTAGTACAGAAGCCACTTCACCATCTGCTGCCCTCTTTAACCGCTTTTCCACCGAGCTGGTTCCAGTGCTAGTTCGGAGCCAGAGCCTGACTTAGCACCAGTTCTTTGTGTTTCCACCACCTAAGCACCAGCTCCAGGTTCTCAAAACTGGTGCTTAGCAAGTACCAACTCTTTAATGGGTCAGAGCTAAGAGCAGAGTACGTCAGGAGTTGGGGGCGGGCTTATCGTGACCAACGAGACCAATGGAAACACATAATGGGACACACAAGTGGTGATTTGTGTCGTTTGTTGCCAGGACGTTTCTGGTCCGATCACAGATGTATTGGAATGAGTCCCGAAACACATGGAAGTTTTGTACAAACTTGCACGCTTAAATCCGGGACAGTTGTGTCCCATTAGCAGCACCACAGTGGAGGAAAACAGTACTTATATAACTTCAGTGTTCTGCGGTATTTTCGCTTAGAAATGCGGTCCACATGCGTGTTTTGTCCACTCATAGAAAAGACCGCATGACAAAAAATCATTCCGTTTCATCTTGGACAAATCTGACATCAGAACGCCCTCCTTTACTCTTTTCAAAGTCATTTTTGGTCGCATACCGGCCTGTCACCAGCCACCAACAGCAGCTAGCACAGCCTACTATGTGGGGCATTCGGGGAACATCGCTTTATTGTTGCGTCTATCGATAAGAAACTGTTCAGCAAGTCATATGTTTTGCCTGTGACAAGATGGGAAGTGCGACCAAATGAGAAAGTTAGTTGCACCAGTATAAAAAAAGTAAGTCTGTGTGGACTTTTGTATGGTGCGAGTGTTGTTCTGTAAACGGCTACGTATGCAATGACATATGGCGTGGCTCTAACTTAGCTCCTCGCCGATGGAAAAACAGGTTCCTAGGAGGTCCAACTAATCACTGGCACTAGCACCAGCAAAGAACTAGCACCTGGTTCTTCTTGGTGGAAAAGGGGTACTTGTGGTTTCTTTGCAGGTCTCCCAAGGTGTGCTAGTCTGCAGCCACCTGGGCCTCTCGTCACTGCAGCTTCCCTTGTTGGAGGCGGTTGCCCTCATGAGACGAGTTTCAAATTAGATGTAATTTCAAGTTAGTTTATGAAATGATTTATAATTGTCGTTATCAGCTGACATGGAACATTTTAGTGAGATAAATGGTTCAGCTCTTTCCCCCAGCTCTAACAAATACATCACCGAATTGCTGCTCCAACACCTCAAATTCCCAGTGAGTGAGAGCTTGTTGTTTTTGGTTCATCCAGTGTTTCTTCAGCTCTCCTGTGTTTACATTAGCAGTGAACTTGGTCCACTTGCAGCATATGTCCACACAATGACCTCACAGATTGCTAACGCATGCGCAACTCACAGTGGGTGGTGGCAGATGGTAAATTTGGCACATGCTAACTATCTAAAGATGCTAGCTAAACATCAACAACCTTCCTACACAATCACAGGCTTCACCTTTAAACGGGAACACGGTGTAACAAAGTCTGACCTTCACCAAAACTGAATGCACCACCTCATGCCACACTTCTCCTTTCTTTGTATTGTCAGCACAGATGAGAAAAGTGAAATCGTCAACCAGTAAAGATAAACATGACTCTGACACACTGGTTTACCACCGAATATCCTATTTGTAAATGGCTGCATTTATATGGCAACTTCAAAGTGCTTCACAGTATATATACAGTGACCGCAGCCATTTCATTTTAATCGAGTAGCAGCATCTTCAAGAATGCACTTGTATTTTGTACTACAAGCTGTAACTTTCATTCATCATTTTGGACAAAAAAAAGCATCTGAAGATGTAAAGCTGAAGTCACAAGCAATAAAACACCCCATTTCAGTGTTAAAGCCTTACTTGGTCTGGTTAAAAACACAAGCTTGGTGGCAAATGCTAAGAAACTTATGTAACTGAACTTGCGTAAACTGCTGTCTGACTTCACTATGTCAGTTCCTTGACCTTAAGACACTTCTCTACTTATCCTAGACTGACTATGTTGTAGCTCATAGCTGGCAAAGTACATTCCTCGCACTTGCTTCCAAGACTCCGACTCTGCTGTTGCTGCTTTGTATGGCATTAAAACTCAATCCCAGCTTGTGCCATCTTCACTCAAATGGTATGAAGAACCTGTTTGGTACAAATGAATGAATAACATTGCAGACATATTTCCCTGCTGAGTCGCAAATATGCTCGGAATAAACCGCTCAGTCTTTCATCTGAGGACACACTTCATTGCTTAATACTTGGTAAATACCATACGTAAAAGCTCTGAGTATCTTTTTCACTGTGGAAAGCTTCCTCGCGGCCCACCGCTATGCGATTCAAGAAGCCAAGCCAAGCACTACAACCGGACTCGCTTGCGCTGTCATTCTCCGTCTCCCGCCGCTTTCAGGCTTTGATGAAAGAAAACAGAAGCCTTGGAAAGGAGACAATCGGTGTGGCTGTCTTCTGTCCTGTGCCATAGAAAATAACTGACTGGAAAAGTCATTTAAAAAAAAAAAAAAAAGGAATGTGTTTTGGGGATTCGAGGCAGGAATCCAAATCCTCCCCTCAGCCAGCTGTACCCATAGAAACACACACACACACAGGGCTGAGACTAACCATAAGCCGCATCATGGCAGAACCTTCCTTGTAAGAAACTGCAGCCAAGAAAGCCAAGGCATCGAATCTGAACCCTGCTGCTCTACAGGCAGAAATTCTACCTGACCCTGCAGCAGAGAGTACAAGTCAGGCAGAGCCACATGTGAGGATGTGTGGGAGTTTCATCTGTTGGACTCGCCTCAGGAAAGGAGAGGGGGAGAAAAAACCCCCAGAAAAATTAACATCCACAGGCAAATCAGTGCCTCGGTTTCCGTGGATGCTTTTGTAGGCGCGCGACACCTCCTCCCCTCTGCAGGGTCCTCGGGGTGCACGCAGACCGGGGAAGGTTTACAGCTGGCTGGCTGCTGACGAATGAGCCCCAGGAAGCTTCTCAAAGGAGAGCCAGAGGCATTTCCACAATAATAAATAATCCAGTTTTTAGGGGAGGAAAAAAGACTTTCTTTAGGAAGTTACGTGGAGCTGTGCAGGAAGCCCAGAGTCACATTTCTCAGATTATACAAGAAGCCGGAGAAGAAAGTGATGACTGGAGTTTATTCCAAACAATGAGATTGCTGCTTGAGAGCATCTTTTTTGTGCATTGTTTGGGGAGAATGCAGCGGGATTTAGCAGAGCATCCAAAAGCACTGCACTCTGTAATTTACTGTGATCACTTCCGGCCAGCAAAAATACAAAAACATACACTACAAACACTACAGCTTCTAGCAGGGATTTGGCATAAACTAAAGACCTTTTCCCAGCTAAACCTCCAAATGAAGCAGAAAACACAGCTTCTTCAAATAAGCCTCTTATAACAAGCTATATGTTTGTGTATCCTTTGGCAGACGCACAACAATGAATACGATCACGATGAACACAGTTACACTAACAAACCTTCCTGTCTAATACACAAATTGCCTTTTTTCTTTTTTTAGCCAACTTTCATCCTCGTTCCATCTCACAGTTGGTCATCGTGAAAACAGAAAAACAACGAGCGCCATCAGACACACACGCCACTGACCATCTTGTGTCCTGACCGGAGGGCCATTTGGAGGGTGGGGGTGCGAGAGATGGGGGGAGGGGAGACGAGAAGGATGCAGCCAAGAGAGGAGAGGATGGAAGATAAAGAAGGCGAGGGGGGGGGGAGGCAAACAAGATGTACAGGAAGCATACAGCGACCAAAAGAAATTTAATGAAGGAGAGAGCGGATTAAAGGAGGGGATAAAAGTAAAAGAGATGGAAATAAGCGGTGAAAGGAACACAGAGGCTGATATAGTCGCAGTGACACCCATCCCCAGGGAGGGCTTGATGATATACAACTCCCCACGGGGATGAAGAGGGCTCTGAGACAAAGCGATGTAGTCCCTACATGCACGCGATTGCATGCAAACACAGAAATATCTGGCTAACAAATACAGAAACTTGGAAGTGTGTG